CTTTTGTTGCCAGTTCAGGGAGTCCAGGTGGTTGAGTATCAGATTGTTCCATCTCATTTCCCTTTGGGGTTGCTGTAGGTGATCTAGAAGTCTGGTTTTGAGACTTGTTTACGTGTCTTCTCATTTCAAGGGAGGAGAGGGGTGTGTGCTGCTGGCACCCGCAAGGCTCACTTCCTCAGTGCTGGGAGGGGCTCTGCTCCTTGGCGGTGGAGGCCTCGCTTGTCACTTGTTGCTCGCTGCCATTCTGCTGTCTGCCTTCTGCTTACCTTGGTTTGCCATGGACTGTTTCTCCTGTGACACCCCTCTGTCATGCCACCTTCCCTTTGAGCCAGCTGACTATGAACTGAAACCTGTACAAACTGAGCTAAATAAACTTTTGCTCACTTAACTTGTGGTATTGAGTATTTTGTCTTAGCAACAAGAAAAGTAACTAAGACAGATACCTACCTCACAACAGGGCTGTTAGGGTGATCGAGTAAGACAAGTTGAGTGCACAGAGTACCATAGATGCTAACATGGAAAGAACATGTTTGCAGATGGAAAGTTAATCTCTCTTAGAAAAGTGTAACTTCCAACAGAGACTAATCATAATCAGAAAACTCAAAATATACAAATGAAGTGATAGAAAGACTTGCACTGCTTTTGTCTTGGCAGAACTTTATTTCTTTGGAAAGAATTAAAAAAAAATAAACTGATGCCATGTTCCCATCCAACAGTCATCCCTCATCTTTTTGCCCTCAGCCACTGGCACCCCCCATTCTACTTTCTGTCACTGAATTTGACCACTCTAGGTACCTCATATATTTGGAATGACAGCAGTTGTCCTTGTGTCAGTAGCTTATTTCACTGAGCATAATGTCCTTAAGTTTCATCTGTGTGGTAGCATCTATTAGGATTTTCTTCCTTTTTAACACCAAATAATATCCATTTGTATGGATGGACCACATTTTCTTATCCCTCCATGAATACTTTGCTTGTTTCTACCTTTTAGTTATTGCAAATAATGTGGCTATAAAATGCAAGTATATAACTATCATTTTAAAACCTTGCTTTCAGTTTTTTGGGATATGTATCCAGAGGTAGAATTGCTGAATTATATAATAATTCTGTGTTTTAATTTTTTGAGGAACCACCATATTTTTTATTGTTACAACTACATCATTTTGTATTTCTACCAGCCATGTACAAGGGTTCCTATTTCTCCATGTCCCTGCTAAGCTTAATTTTTGTTTCTTGATAGTAGACATCCTACTAGGTTTGATGTAGATCTCCTTGTGGTTTTGATTTTCATTTTCCTAATAATGAGTGGGACATCTTTTTCATGTGCTCCTTTTTCATTTGTGTATCTTCAGGCAAATGCCTGTTCAAATTCTCTGGCTATTTTTGAGTTATAGAATTTAGTCATATATTTTAGAAATTAATCCCTTATCAGTGATCTCATTTCAAATGTTAGTTTCTATGACTGTAAAAAAAGACCCAAGGAAATCAAAATAAAGAGGAGGAGGTTTATTTTGGCTCACCATCTCACCTTCCTGAGCCTCAGTTTCCACATTTGTAAAATGGAGCCAATTCCTTGGTCTTCACTAGATAGGTTTCAGATTTCCAAGTGCTGCTGGCAGAGCTCAGATTGAGCTTGTTGAACTGGGGGGGTCTGGAGCTGTTCACTGGCCTGGTGCTGACATGGATGGTATAGGGCTGAGACCCAGCTGAGTGAGAGTGCACCATTTTCCAGAAAATGTGGCCAGGGATTCTCTAAGCTCTAAGAGGCAACTGGAAGGAAGGGAGAGAGGGGCAGTGAAAGCTGGGATTACACTTAGACAGTGGCCTGGATGTATTGAGTCTGGATGGGCCGCAGGAAAGCAGGCAAGTCACCCACTGGATGGGGTGAGTCAGGACCTTGCTCCCTTCACCCCCTCATCAGAGCCCCATGATGCAGAGCTGAGATTGACCTTTGAATCATCTCTTTCATCCTCCTCAGTCTCAGGGTTACTAAGGACTAGAGAAAAGGGCTTTGCTTGAGTTCCACGATGACTCTGGGCAGACAGGATCTAAAATCCAGTGAGACAGAAGGGTATCCAGGCTAGCAGAGGGTCTCCTCCATGAACAGAGGGTTGGGTACCCTTTCACACTGTGTGCCCCAGGCTTGGCACAGTTGGAGGCACTCAGGAAGTACTGTTGAGTGAGTAGTGAAAAAACAAAAACAACCTGGTGGCAGATCCAAGCTGGAATTGTCTCCTCTCTGGGCCAGCTCTGCCTCACTGGACAAGTTGCTTCACCTTGCTGAGCTTCCGTTTCCCAAAACAAGTTTCTAAGTCTATTTGGCAGGTGCCCCAGCAAGGATTTGAACCCAGGTGAGCCCAGTTCCATGGCTGATTTTCTTTTTTCTTTTTTTTTTTTTGGTACCAGGGATCGAACTCGGGTCCTTGCGCTTGCAAGCCAAGTGACGGAACCACTGAGCTAAATCCCTGACCCGATGGCTGATTTTCTATACAGCGCTGTCCTGATTCCTTTACTGACTCACTCATTGAGAAACTTTTGAACAACACACAATATTTTCCAGACACAGTTGGGGGGTCTGTGAATACAAGCAGTAAACAAGGCAGGTGGGTTTCTGCCCTCAGGATTTATATTCTAGGAGGATTCAGGAATAAGGCAGTGTAAGATGGAACAACAATGGTGGGGAGTACTCTGAAGGGACCGGGATAGGGACAAGATGGGGCTGCCTCAGTTGCTGTGGTCAGGGAAGGATATTTTGAGTGGCATTTGAAAAGTAGCAGCCATACATGTACCATATGTAGCCACTGTATGCAAAGAGCCTGAACAAATTAAGAGGGAAGTGGGAACCATGTAACTAGATAAGCCTCAGACCTGCTGATGACAGGGTGATGAAGTGTGGAAGGAAATCAGTTACCAAAGCACCCTAAACAGCCTGAAAAGGCTCTGTGGAACAGCACAGTAGGTGTGCACCCCTGGCCACATTGGTTCTCCTCTCCCCTGCCTCTGCCTTCTAGGTAAAGCAGATCATGGAGGAGGCTGTCACACGCAAGTTTGTCCACGAAGACAGTAGCCACATCATCTCCTTCTGTGGTGAGTCTATAACCCTCCCAGGCCTGGGAAAGTGGTTCCTTCTCTGGAGCTGCCTCAGGGAAGGTGCATCTCTCAGCCAGGGTTCTCATGTACTGTTTTTGCTTTGTGACTTTGAAGTTATTTTTGGATCCCAAAGAGACTCTATTGGGGAATTTTGAAGTACAAGACTTTGGACCCCCATGGAGAGGTCATCATGGGGGATCACCTTCCCCTCCTCATGGGCTCAGTTTGTGCTACCCATACCCTGAGCACTGGGTGGTCTTGCCTCTTGGAAATAACCTCTGTGTCTTTCTTGCTTGGCCTGTGATGAGCGCTAAAGGGAGAGATCCACAGAGATATTTAATGAGAAGAGGGAGAGAGAACCCTGACACATCCTGAGGGACCCCAATAGCTGGCCTAGCACAGGAGGCAGTGGGAGCTCAGAGCATGACTCACTGCTCTCTTTGCACAGCTCTGTCGTAAGATCCAGAAATACCCACTCTGCCAGGTCCCACTGTATTTTGACAGCAGCTAGAGAAACGTATTGTGTGTGCCTGAAGTCAGCATTGAGCTCAGAATCTGTGTGTATCTATACGTGGGAATGTTCTTTCCTGCTCTCTGAAACACTTTTTCTTAATAACTGGAGTGTCTGATGGTGAAGAACACGCTCTAATTCCCCTTCTGTGACCTTGGACTTATGGAGAGGCCTGAGCAAGGATACCTGGCCAGCCACCAGCTTCCATCCAGATGGCTGGGGTGCCACCACCTGGGGCCCACATGCTGAGCCCACTGTGCACACACTCACTTCAACCCCTTTTAGCCAGGTAGACTTGGGTTCAAATCCCCACCTCTACCACTTACTGTTGACCTTGGGCAGAATCTTAATTTTTAGGTGGATTATTTTTTTTACATACACACATGTATGTATATATACACACATATAGATATATGTAATATATATTTTGCATAAGTATATATGTATGATACATATTTTTACAAATATGTTTTTATATATAATATATATTATATATATAATATATAATATATATATTATATATATTATATATATGGCTTTTTATTTTCTCCTGGACATGTTATTTGCAAATAAAATCATGTTCATATCAGAACTTGGCAACATGCTTACTAATTAAAATCTTAAAAGGATAAAAAGTGATAAAAAGATTTATAATAGTTCCCTAACTCTGATCTAAGCTTTTGGGTAGAAGAAATTGGACGGCACTAAAGAGACCTAAAGAATCCCACTGATGTTTCTTTTATCCATTGTCCCTTAGGGTCATTGTCCTGAAGAATCGGACAATGTATATGAAGCCTGAAGAGAAGATTAAAAAAATAAAAAGTACTGTATATGTAAATTAAAACCACACACACTCATAATTCCAGCTACTGGGAGCCAAGGCAGGAGGATTGCAAGTTGGAACCCAGCTTAATCAACTTAGACCCTGTCTCAAAATGAAGAAAACTAGGATTTAGCTCAGTGGAGCTGCTCCTGCCTCGAATATGCAAGGTCCTGAGTTCAATCCCTGGTACCAGAAAAAAAAAAAAATGAAGAAAACTGAAAAATGGTCTGGGGATGTAGCTCAGTGTGAAGGCCCTGGGTTCATTCCCCAATACCACCACCACCAAGAAAAATGAAAAGATCTTGAAGAGAAACTCACCCACAATATTTTAAATGTATGGGCAAATTAATCAATTTTTAGACATTCACTCAAAACCAAGTAATGGCTTATTGAAACAAAGACGATTAACCAAAAACACCTCGCAGTTAACACGTAACCTAGACCAAGCTCTTACTTTGGGAATGGCTCATTTGTTCTGTGAATGGTGATAACTAGAGCTCTTACATCATGGGTTTTGTAGCAAGAATTAGGTGATGCAAATCATAACTTACCTGATACAAAGCAGGTGCCAAATAAGGAATAGCTTATTCTCACTTTTCAAAAAACATGAATTATGCACCTATTGCATACCACCGTGAGACAGAAGGTAAGAAGATAGAGGGCCCCCAGAAGCACCAGGACTAGGATGGGAGCCTCAGAACAGTTTGAACAGGGCCAGTTTCCCAGAGGGGCTCATTTAAGCCTAGAGAGGGAAAGTGACTCACCTGAGGTAGCTCAGCAAATTAATGGGAGAACCCAGGCCTAAACCCAGATAATCATGTCCTGGGAAGGGTTTCCAAAGGAAACACAGAAATGAGATGACTATGAAATCCTCCTTCCCAGGCTCTTTGTGGAAACACAAGTATTACACATGGCACACCTTGAACTCAGACCGCATTGACTCCTGGCTCCATCACTTATTTGCTAGGTGGCCTGGAGCAGTTGTGTCCACATCTCAGAAGTGGGGATATTTTCTTTCTTGCTGGGCATGACAGATTAAATGAGACCCATAAATTTTAGTTGTGCTGTAAGCACAGTATTGATGATGATGATGATGATGATGATGATGGTGATGCAATTCCTTAACCTGATGAACCTCAGCAGTCAGGCGGTCCAGTCTCCTCTCCCTCTGACCGAAACAATAGAGACATTCATGAAGCAACCACTGTGTGCCAGGCTCTGCCTAGTACTTCTTATGCATTTTCACCTGTCCTACCAGCAACCTTTTGAGGTTAATGTTTATACCATCCCCCTTTCACAGATGCAAATGCTGAAGCCCGGAGAGGGCAGTCATTGCCCGCAGTCACACAGCTGGTTAGTAGCTGGCCAAGGATCTGAATAGAGATGGTCTAGACTTGGGCCACAGCTGTAGACTAACCACTGTGCTTTCTTGCCTCCTTTGAAGAGTGTGGCAGATGGAGGAGAGGCATGTTTTTCACTGTAATGCTGACCTGAACTTCGTGATTCTGGGAGTCCTGGCTGGCCAGGGCACCTCTGATCAAACCTGTGAGCCATACAGATGCTGAGGAGTGTGGACAGGACAGGGCCTGCTGACTCCCATGTTCCCGCAGCGGCAGTGGAAGCCTGTATCCTGCATGGGCTGCGTCGGCGGGCAGCTGGCTTTCTGCGCAGCAACAAGATCGCAGCTCTTTTCATGAAGGTGGGGAAGAGCTTCCCACCAGCTGAGGAGCTGAGCCACAAGGTGCAGGACCTGGAACAGCTGATTGAAAACGCGTGAGTGTGAAGTATTGGGCACAACCTGGGACAGTCCCCCAGGGGATGGTTTACAACCTACCTCAGGCCCTGCAAGGGATCACGCCTCTTGGACTATCTTCATTTTCTTTTCTGATTCTCAAACCTGCCAGACTCTTTTCCACCTCAAGGCCTTTGCACATGCTGTACCCTTGTATTAGTCAGCTTTCCATTGCTGGTACAAAATACCTGGCATAAACTACTTAAATGAGAAAAGACTGATCTGGGTTCATAGTTTCAGAGGTTTCAGTCCGTGGTCACCTAGTTCCAAATTAGAAACATCAGTGGAAGGACATGGCAGAGGAGAGCTCCTTGTGTCATGGCAGCCAGGAAACAGATCAAGGACAAGCCTGAACGAAGATACACCCTTCAAGGGCATGCCCCCAGTGACCTACTTCCTCCAACTAGTCCCTGCCTCCTAATAGCACATTCAGCCATGAAGTCACCCATGGGTCAGGTTAGTGTCCTCATGATCCAGTCACCTCTCCAGACATCTCTTAGTCCAGTCAAACTGACAATCAAGATAACCTTCAGCCCTGCACCGGTCTCATCGCCTGTTCTTCCAGGACTGGTTCCTTGGCTCATCTACATATCCCCTAGCTCTGTAAATTCTGACCCACGTGCCATCTTCTCTCTCATATCACCATTTGTTTTCTTCCCACTTGTTGCAACCTGTAGGTAACCATTTGTGCATTCGTTTACTGCTGACTTGATTATAATCTGTCTCCCTAAACTCCATGAGAACAGGCAGCTCACCTGTGCCATTTCCGATTGTGTACCAAGCATGTGGGGCAGTGTATAGCATCTGGTCCATGCCCATGACATGGTTGTTGAGTGAGTAAGTGCTGAGTGGGAGCCAAACCCTGTTCAAAATGTAAAATGACTGACATTTAACAGAACCCACGTGGTCTCTGCATGAACCAGATGCTAGGGTTCCTGGTTAAAACTCACATTGAAGCAGCCATTGAAGGGGAAGGTGGCTTCACTCACTTGTCTTGGTGGCTGCTTGTATGTGTTGGGAGAGGCTCAGGACTGAATGTGGTACATGTTATACCTGCCCCCTGAAGTCTCAAATGGATAGCCAAGTTCCCAACAAGGAGCCTGGCCAAGGATGGCAGATAGGGCTCAGCTCCTTCTGGTGCAGTGGCTCCCAGGGGACAGTGTTGTGGAAAGCTTCTAAAGCTGTGGGAAAAATGTATGGATCAATTGGCCATGTCTGTCATAGGCATGGCAAGGGAGGAGACAAATATGCTGTGTGTTTCCCAGTTTGCCATTACTGTAACAATGTGTGCCACGCACTGTGCCAGGTACTGTAACAAGTGGTAGCTCATGCCTGTAATCCCAGCACTTGGGAAGTTGTGACATGAACATTGCCATGACTTCAAGGCCAGCCTGGTCTACAGAGTGAGTTCAAGGCCAGCCTGAACTGTATAATGAGAGCCTGTCTCAAAAAAACAAACCATTAATGTAAGAAAATTCCTGAGATAACCAAATTATATAGAGGAAAACTTTATTTTGACTCAGTTTTGGAGGTTCCAGTCCATGGCTGATTGGCCCCATTGCTTTTGGGCTTGTGATGAAGCAGCACATCATGGTGGAAAGTACATGGCAGAGTAAACTGTTAAGCAGCCTGAATGCAGAGCCAAGTGCTGTGGTTAACTAGCCAGATGCAGAAAAAAAGGAGGAAGAGGCTAGTCCTACAGTCCCCTTTGAGGGCATATGCTCAATAACCTGATGCCTCCTCCTAGGCACCCTTCTTTTTTTGGTACCAGGGATTGAACTTGAGACCTTGCACTTGCAAGGCAGGCGGTGGAACCACTGAGCTAAATCCCCATAGGCCCCCTTCTTAAAGGTTCCATCGCCTCCCAACAGCACCAAGCTGGGGACCAAGCTTTAACCCATGGTCCTTTGGAGGACATTCCAGATCTAAACCATAGCATGCCCTAAGTTTGACATCTCTTCCATGATCATTCCATGAAGTGAGAAACCCCTCCTCGCTTTTCTTTCTTGCCCTTTGCCTTTCTTGCCTGCCAAGCGATGCTGGCCAGAAAGAACTGTGGGCAGAGCTCAGGATTTGGCTCTGCCAGCTCCCTTTGGAATGACTTCCCAGTCAGGCAGTCTTTGGGTGCCTTCTAGCCCATCTGCTCAGCTCCCAGATGTTCCCAGGTAACTTCTGAAAAGCCTGGGTCTCTAGGGCCTTCCACAGTGTGAGTGACTTCCCAATGGAAGGGTAAGAGGCATCCCTGCCAGAGGTAAGGGAAAACCACGCATTCATCTGTGCAGTCACCATTTATGGATGTATTTGATGTGCATCTTGTGTGCCAGGCACTGTGCTGGAGAAATAGATGTGAAGGTGCTCATACTTGCTACTGGATAGATTCTTAGTATTTTAACTTTAAAAGACTTGAATTGCTTTTGCATATGCTCAAGATCACAGAATAAAGGGAAAGACAGAAAAATGAGCAGGCTGAAGGAGCACAGCAGCTTTGGCTGGTCTCAGAGGGCTGTGTATAAGAGGAGATGGTCTTGCTGAGACCAAAAGAGTGAGAGAATCATCCCAGGAATGGGGCAAGGGGGAAACTGGGAAGAAATGGCAGCCCATGGAAAATCTGGCAGCTGCAGGAATCTATAGGTAGCTCTGTCTGGCTGGAGCATGAACTGAGAGGGGACTGAGGACAAGGTCATGGAGCACTCTGCTGATCATGTTAAAGACCTCATTTCCCAGGGGTGGTAGTGGGGAGTCACTAAAGGCTGTATAACCAGGACTTCCTGGTCAGGAGAAAGAGAGAGAGAAAAAGAGTGAAGGAGAAGAAGAAAAGATGGGGAGAGAAGACAGAAGGAGTGGGGAGAGACTTAGAGGAAGAAGAGAAGGGAGGGCCCTGAGGTGGGGGGAAGGAAGGAGAGGAGAAATTGGTCAGGATCCAGCTTGCCTGTCAGTGGTATATGGAGGTGTGTTTAGCCATATCTTCATACTCACTGGGCATTACTGTCTTTCCAACTCTTGGCCCATTTGCTAGGAGCAATGTGAGTTCTTGGTGTTTAGCTGCCACTTCCTCATTTCCTTGAGACAGTGAACATTGTCCCATTTGCATATCTGGTCCTGTGGATTTCCTTCTTTGTGAGTGTCTACCCTTCCCTTATTGCTTTTGAAGGAGGAACCAGATACAGGGCCTCCAGGAGAACATGCGGAAGCTTCCGAAGCTGCCTAACCTGTCCCCGCTTGCCATCAAGCACCTGTGGATCCGCACAGCCTTGTTTGAGAAGGTCCTGGACAAAATTGTGCATTACCTGGTGGAAAACAGCAGGTGAGAAAGGGAAGCTGCACACCTGGTGTGCTGTGCCTCCACCTGTTGGCATTTCTCAGAATTGCACCCTCTCGCACAGAGCCACTTTCTTGTTCTGGACAGGCTCTTAGATTGGAAAGCGGTTATATATAAACCTCCCGGATGTTTGACCCTGAACTAGGCTAGGTCAGAAACTTAGGAAGGTTCAGATAGTTACTAACAGTACACAGGATTCAGAGTTAGAGTCGGTTATAGGGATCTTGAGTTTCTTCCTTCTCCTGTGGATTAGTCCACTTGATAAGCAATAGAACTACTTAGCCTTTTGCTCCTTGTTGTCCCTTTGGTAAATGGCATGGGGATTGGTGCCACTCCCAAGAAATGAGAAAGAAATTTAGTACGTAGTATTTAGAAAATTCAGTGATAACTTAGACTAACTTAGATGTTGGGGATACAGTAGTACTGCCTGTCATATTAAAAAGCTTGGCTATTATTTCAAGAGCAGTGTGGAGCTACTGAGTGATCTATACTGTAATGTGAGAGTCTTCATGGCCAATATGCCTTTCCAGCCAGAGAGAGAGAAAAATCTAAAGGAGCTGGTATTTTAGGTCAGTGGTAAAGTGTTTCATTTCCTGCATTCAGTACCCAGCCCTGAGGGGAAAAAAAGGAGAAAAAGACAAAAGAAATCTGAACTTTCCTGTTTTTCATTATATGAAAGTGCTTCTTTAACCACATGTTCATGAAAGTGGGTTTTACTATTATTTTTTAATTCTTTGCCCCTTTACTAAGAAAATGCATATGATAATGTGTGTTGAATGTTCCAAGGGGGTATGGTGGTGATGTGTTGTGGTTTTATTTTTCACTACTGGGGTTTGGACCCAGAGCCTTCCCAGTGAGCTATGTTTCCAGCTCTTTTTTTTTTTTTTTAATTTAATTTGAGGCAGGATCTCTACTAAATTGCCTACGCTAAGATTAAACTTGTGATCCTTCTACCTCAGCCTCCCAGGGTGGCAAGATTCCAGGTCTGCACCGCCTCACCCGGCTTGTGTTGGTGTTTAATCCCCTTTAGGTGGCCAGGGAAAGTGTCCTGGAAGGAGTGGCATTCCAAAGGCATGATGCAGGCAGGGAGGGGGATGGGAAAAGGGTGCTCCTGGTGGAAGCAACAGCAGGCACAAAGGCCTAGACAAGGGAGTGAGGTTGAAAGAAACCTGAACTCTGAATCTCCATTTAACCTCTTTTCCTTGTAGTAAGTTGTAATGCATCTATGTCTCCGGCTGTGAATGGTCCTGGGCTTCTTTAGTCATCCTGCTGAATAAGTCAGTCAGAAATAATTAGGAATTTATTTGAGCAGCAATGTCAGCCTGCTATTTTTTTTTCATTATATTTTGAAATTTAGATTTCTCAAATTCTCATTCTAAGTTGCAAAATTAGTACAGAGAGTACTGATCAGCTAACCCCAGTGATTACATCTTATATAATAGTACAGTTGTCAATACCAAGATACTGATCTTGGCATGGTACTATTAACAGCCTTTATTTGCAGTTCACCACTTTGTATATGAACTTTCTGTTTATTTGTTTGTTGGGCATATAGTTAAATAAGATTTTAACTCACAGATAATTTTGTCTGGCCAGTATCACAATCAGGATAGAGAATTGTTCCAAAACTCCCTTAGGCTACTTTTAATAGTCACATCTTTTCCCGACCCTGCCTGCCATTTTTAGGGCAGAATTTCCAAGCCCTTTGATCACTGTCCTGATTTTTGGAGTGGGACTCAAGTGGCAGCAAAGTGGGAAGTGTCTCAAGGTATTTTTTTCAGGTTTGACTTCTAAATGTAGAACCTTGATATTGAGCAAGTTCAAGGCAAGTCAGCTCTGGCTCATCCAGTATTCTGACTGTTAGAAGATTCCTTTGGGGTAAGCTTGCAATGACATTGGCACCATTTAGTGAGGACTACCTGGTATGGGCTCTGTGCTCTACAGGCAGCTCATTGTTCAATCTTTCCAATAACCAGGTAGTTGAATTCTGTCATTCTTCTCATTTTATAGCATAGCTAAGGACACTGAGTCTCAGAGAGGATATTAACTTGCCTGGGGCACACAGCAAAGTGGAGAGTGGTTGAGCTGGGCTTCTGCCCAGTCTGACTGGCTTTAGATCCTGTCTCCTTCACCCCCTGCTATATGATAGTAAGAGTTAAACTAGCTGGGTGTAGCCTAAGACCACATCTGCCTGCTGTGTGACCTCTAGCAAGTCACTTTACTTTCCTGCACTTGAGATTGTTGGAGGATCAGAACAGGATCCTTTCCAACTTTGAAATCTTCTTAGTTTCTAGGTTACACAAATTTTCAAGGAATTAGGAAACATTGCACCAGAACGCATACATGGAATCATGGCATTGATGACATCACATAAGCCAGATTTCAGAGTTCCCTTTTGAGCATCTCATGGCAGTGTTATCAGCCTTAGTTACGAGGCAGGACAGCCTGTTAGCACAGCCTTTGAGTACACATTGCAGTTGAACAGCATTTTATTGCCTCAGGAGTAGCAGACCTGACTTCATCTGCACCTCTAAGTGACTTGCCATCTCCAACAGAAGTAGATGGAATCTGCCAGGCCTCAGCAGCCTTCTGATTATTATTCCTGTTACTCTCAGAAAGGTTCTCTCACAATCCCATATTAACAGGTGCACACCACCTATCAAGCTAAATGCCTTTCTGTTGTGTAGCTCAGAAGTCCTTCTCACACCCCTACAAGATACATTATCATTGTGCCCATTTTATGGACAGTGCAGCTGAGCCTCTGAGCATTCCTGGGTGATATGGAGGCACTGAACCTAGTCTTTCAGTCGGATCCTCTGGTGGTCTCCATCTAAACCTGTGTGTTCTTTGCTTTCTCACTAGTAAATACTATGAGAAGGAAGCGCTCCTGATGGACCCTGTGGATGGCCCCATTCTTGCATCTTTGTTGGGTATGTGGTCCAGTGCTCGGAGCTCCATCTGGACCTCTGGTCTCAGGTCTCAGGCACCTCCTGAGGGCCCCTCTCCTCTGCAGCTTTACCCATCAAAACTTAACTGTTCACTCTCTTGCTTGAAGGACCTTGTTCTGATCTCTTTCTTTGCAGGCTGTAGGACTTCTTGGCTAAGGGGAGGGGTAATGGAATGGGTGGTCCATCCCATAGTAGATAGGAGGGTGGACTTTTGGGAGCTTCAGGTCCCCAGCCTCATGTGCTCCACAGTGGGTCCCTGTGCCCTGGAGTACACCAAGATGAAGACTGCAGACCACTTCTGGACTGACCCTTCGGCTGATGAGCTGGTCCAGAGGCATCGCATCCATAGCTCACATCTGCGGCAGGACTCACCCACCAAGCGGCCAGCCCTCTGTGTGAGTAGAAGGAGGTTGTGAGGCAGTGGGAGGGCCCTGGGGCAAGGTCTGGACCTGAGGACAAGGAACAGGGTAGGACCCCTGAAGGTCACTCCAGGGCCATCCCTCTGTCTCCTGTCACACCACCAGATCCAGAAGAGACATTCGAGTGGCAGCATGGATGACCGGCCATCCCTCTCTGCACGTGACTATGTGGAGTCCCTGCACCAGAACTCTCGAGCCACCCTGCTCTATGGCAAGAACAATGTTCTGGTTCAGCCGGTGAGAATTCATGGTGGGCCCAAATCTGCCTCTGAGGGTTTTGGCTGCATTTTATAGAGGAAGAGTTTCCTTCTGGCCCCAGGTTTCTCATCCATTCATCCATCCATCCACCCACCCACCCATTTGTTCACCATCCATCTGCCAATAACTCCATCCATCCATTCATCCAGCCAGTCAATCTCTAGGCTCCCAACCAGCCAGCCAGCTCTCTTTCACTCTCCACATACACCCGTTCTCCTATTCATTGCATCCATCCATCATTGGTTCATGCATCTGTTTATATCCATCTATCTATCTTTATACCCAGTCATCCATTCATCCAATTGTCTTATTTATTTTCTAGTCCATCTCTCCACCCTACCTCTGCAAGGCTAAGAAGCCGTGAATTTAAGATCCACCTTCTTTTCACATAACCATCAAGGGGGCTGGGGATTTAGCTCAGTGGTTCCGCTGCCTGCCTTGCAAGCGCAAGGTCCTGAGTTCAATCCCCGGTACCAAAAAAAAAAAATGACCACATAACCATCAAGGAATCACAAATGCCATTTAGATTATATACAGGATTTTTTCACTACTTGCAAATTTTCATCTTACCCTTTTTGATTGTTTGTTTGCTGAGGCAGGTTCCACTATGTAGCCCAGGCTGACCTCTAACTCACAATGATCCTCTTGCCTCAGCCTCATCTTACCCTTTTTGAAACAGCTCTTTGAGACTTATTTAGACATAAGGAGGCTTTTTTGTCTTTGCATCACACATTGTTCTCTTAAGAGAAAATATAATTTGAAGCACTTTAGTTTAAGATATTCCTAAAGTATCTCCATATTTCAGAATTCAATCTTCTGTATCACTTTTTGATTTAGAGTCATTTGAGATTCTAATTTTTCCACGTATAATACTGTTTTCTGTTGCATCAAGAGGGGAGAGCAACAAATTATAGCAGCCGGTCAGATGTGGCCCTCCACTTGTCTTTTGAAACATAGATGTGACCATTTGTTTATGTATTGTGTATAACTATTTTCAGGCTATGGTGCAGTTGAGTAGTTCTGGCCGAGCCTGCATGGCTCATACAGCCAAAAATATTCCCTGACTCTCCCTTTACTCTGAAGTTGGTTTCCCCTGACCCAAAAGAGCAGGAAGTGCAGCATTTATTGTAAAAATGTCCACTCTCATCTCTGAGACAACCAGGTCTGAAGTCCCATCAAGCAGCAGGTGGGTGCTTTGTAGGGAACTCTGGAGTGTGGGCACCCCTGCAGGGATGAATAATGTGCCTGTGTCACCAGTGTCACATTAGTACTGCACTGCTCTGTGCCCAGCCTGTGTCACAATAACTTTTCAATTCAGAGCTGAGTCATGGGGTAATCCTTTGGAAGACATCAAGAATAGCGTCTGTTCTCCGAATGTGAAATAATAACCACACACAAAACTCAGTTGACGTGGCAACAATGTGAAGAGCTATGACCAAGTCTGTGTGAGATCAAACAGTGCAACTACATCACTGATTATAATAGAACATATGTTACAGGATTTATGAAACACTCTGCTTCCTCATGCAGGGGTATAGCACATGTACTTCACTTGTGACAGTGGGTGTGGTGACTGAGCCATGCTTAGTATACTCTTCATCCTCAGTAAGTGTTGGCTGTCTATCTTCCTGTTGCTAGGGTGAATTTGGTGGAGAAACTGCCTCCTTCACATATGAGGGATGTTGACATTGCCCTCCCTATCCAGTTGCTTGGGATAAAACAGAGCATGTGAGGAGTCCTTTAGGCACATTCTGGGAAGGCAGAGACCTGAATGCTGCATCAGAGTGTGGCAAGGGTGCTTGGGAAAGAGGTTTTGGGGTGCTGTCTGCGGGACGGACCAGAGAACTCACTTGCCATTTCTTCGGTCATAAGATTGGCCAACATAAATGCCTTGTTTTGAAAAGGGTAACATTAGGAGAGACATAGCCCTCTTCCTAATTCTAAAGGAACAGTGAAACAAGGCTCCTTGGCCTTAGGAGGGAGGCATAAGTGTGACAGAGTGGGGGTGGGTGGCTTTCTCAGCTGTACTCTACACCATATCCTGGAAGCCTTTGCAGATGGCTTTCCTTAGCAGAGCCACCTGGAAGGAGACTTGGGGTCTTCCACATGGCCATTACCTTGAATAACTCAACTTCTTAGTTCCAGTTATGCATCCTTGACACAAAGGGGCCAGGACCTGTGTTCACTAGGGGCTCCAGCACCATGGCCAGGTCTGAGTGCTCCTGTGTCTGCAGAGGGACGACATGGAGGCTGTGCCAGGGTACCTGTCCCTGCACCAGACAGCTGATGTTATGACCTTGAAGTGGACACCCAACCAGCTGATGAACGGCTCTGTGGGGGACCTGGACTATGAGAAGAGGTAGGGCACTGTGTTCATTGTATGTCCGCTAAGTCCCTTTACTCTGCTCACCACAAGGAAGTTTCCTTGGAGGGTGGTTATTCCCTACCCCCAGGCCACTCTGCCTGGTGATTACAGGGTTACCTTGCTCAGCCTCCCTGCAGCTGTGGCCTCAGGGGTGAGTGAAAGACTCAGGAGCATCCACAGACCAACTGGAAGAGTCTTAGGGTGTGGAAGTTAGGTATTTCCCTGGTTAATCAGAAAGAGAAATCTTTACAGAGATCCATTAAGCCTGCAAATGGCAAGACACTCCCCAGTCTCTGCCTACTCTCACATCACTCAATTAAAGGAGAATGGGAGTTGTTAGCCAGTATGTGGTCGCCAAGGCTGTGTCTTCTCTGACACTCATGATGTATAAGACGCAGCAAAAGTTTTGGAGTCACACTAGGAGGAAATGCTGGGCCAGGGCTCCCTCCTGCAGATAGGACACAGGTATCCATCACCCAGCCCTCATGGCCATCCACACGTCCCCTAGTCCCTACATATTACTTGGAAGGAACATCTGTAAATATGTATCTCTAAAAAATAAGGACTCTTTCAAAGAAACAACCACAAGATGGTTGTGTTCTATTAAATATCAAGCCTATGATTCACATTTAGGCCTTGGAGTAATCACTAGTGTTCTCAAAGCTGGGTAGAGGAGTGCTTGGGGGAGGTCTTTCTTCTGGCTTCCTGAACTCCTCTCACAACAAGGCAGGTGAGTTTCCTGAAAGTCAAACTCTCCCTCCCATTCTAGTGTCTACTGGGACTATGCCATGACCATCCGCCTGGAGGAGATTGTCTACCTGCACTGCCACCAGCAAGGTAGGAACTGTGGGGACAGCAGGGACCTGGCTGGCTGTTCTTAGATCCCCTTCCTGCCTCCACCCCTGCACATTTGTTAGCAACATGAGAGAGTGTAGTGAGTGACCAGTATCACTTGTGCAACCTCAAACAAATCACTACCTCAGTAAAATGAAGACCATGGTTAATTAATCGTTGTAACAACCTGGGGGTGGGGTGACATCATTCCCACCCTAGAGATGAAGAAGCAGCTGGACACAGAGTCAACATAGCCTGTGAGCTGTAGAGCCTGGACTTGAACCCAGGTCTTTGTTTCCAGTCAGTGCTCTCCAGATCGGGGATTAGTCATTTCAGCATTCCTTTAAAGCCAGATATAGTCAGAAAAAGCAGAGAGACAGAAAGCAAATGGTCTGTGCCTCACCAAGGCTTGAAACCCAGCAATTTTAATGCTTTTTAATGAGACAGTCCTGGTTTCAGATTCAGGCTCTGCCTCATACTTGTTCTCTCTTGGGGAGGTATTTAATCTCTGAGATGTGGTTTCATTATTTGTAAAATAAGCAATAATAGAAAAAATAATAGAACTTCTAGGGATATTGTGAATATTACAATAAGACAGTGCTTACAACATGCTATGCTGGCATATAGCTAGTGTTCACTTCATTAACCATTGTCAAGGATGGCCCTGAGAAGGGGGAATCTTATGTCTGAAGACCTCCATACAAAAATAAGTCATATTTGCAGAGGATTTTTGAATAACACTGGGTGTTTGGGGGCCTCTTTTTTCCTTTGGTGGGTAACATTCTTGACCTTGTCCTGTAGTCTCCTAGGCAGTGGTGGCTGGTAGGTAGGTTGCAAAGGTCTCAGGACCCAGATCCTGAGAGGAGGACCCCTTTGTGGCGTGGCACCCTGGAACATGTGTTTTCAGAGTGGGGGCCTCTCACCATGCCTCATATAGTGACTGCCTGCTGATCTTCTCTGGCCTCTTGCTTTGGCAGTGGATAGCGGTGGGACAGTGGTGCTGGTCAGCCAGGATGGCATCCAGAGGCCACCCTTCCGCTTCCCTAAGGGAGGTCACCTCCTCCAGTTCCTCTCATGCCTGGAGAATGGGCTGCTCCCCCACGGTCAGCTTGACCCACCGCTCTGGTCCCAACGGGGCAAGGTGAGTGGTCAGAAGCTTGGGAGGTCTGCCATGGGGAGAAGTCCTCCTTGCCTCGGGACCCTAAGTTGTGGTCTCACGCACTGCCACAGAGACCCTTGGGCTGGGCAGGCTGTGGGAACAGGTATTCCCTAGGGACTTTGCATTGAAACCAGCTTTTTTAGGGCAAAGTGTTTCCCAAACTGCGAAAGCGAAGCCCCCAGGGTTCTTCCGAGTCTACGTCTTCAGACAAGGAGGATGATGAGGCCACAGATTACGTGTTCCGGATCATCTATCCCGGCATGCAGTCTGAGTTTGGTAAGGTGCCCTGTCCCCATGCCCCAGGCCCACCTGTTCACTGAGCCTGGAAACCATTCCCAGTGCTTGGGACTAGCAGGGAGATTTGGAATCTGGAGATAAGTCTCTTGGCAGCCTCAGTTTCCCCCAAACTGAGAACAAATAATCATTCTATACTTGGCTAATAAAGATGCAGCTGGGCAGCAGGTGACATAGGGTAGCGAAGGTGACATAGGTTCTGGAATCCTGGCTGAACTTGGACAAGTTACTTGGCGCCTCTGTTTCCTCATCTGTAAAATGGGGGTGCTCTTAGCACCTATTAGGATTGCCATGGGGGTTAAAGAAAGTAGAGCATTTGGCACACAGAGCACTGGAGTGTTGTTGTTATTATATCCCTCTTGTCAGTGGCTGAGTTTGGTCTGGGTGTGGCCCCGGCTTGGGGGCCAGGTCTGTGTTTCTTGGGTTAGCCTGTGTTTCCACCCATGATGTTCCTTCATGGCCAGTTGGCAGCAAAGCTTTGTGTCTTGCATCACCCCAGTGTGAGAATTCTCCCATCCCTTCCCTGCCTGATATCAGGGCCTGGAGCACTGCCAGCCTCTGTGTGGTACCAGTATGGTACTCAGACCCCATACCAAGGCTTTTCCAGCCCTGTGCTTAGAAGATGCCATTAATGAGGGTGAAATCTCAGAATGCTCCACTGGCTTGTCCTGTTCATAAGAATCTTCTTACCCCAACCAAAACTGATGTGCCTTACAAGCCAATCACAGAAGAAGGCCAGGTCCCTGTAGCTGCCTTTGAAGGAAGCTCCCCTGTCACCCAGATTCTCAGTCAATAAATAATTTCTACTGAGAGCCAGCTGGGCACTAGACCTATTTAGATGCTGTTCATGTTGCCCTGTTGTGGCTTGACATGGCCAGAGGAGCAGATGCCACCCACAGCGCTTGACATTTCTCATTCTGGACATGCCATTCACCTGCGAGCTGCCTACCTCCGTGTCTCTTTGCCTCAGGGTCTCTCAGACCATGAGGGTCCCTCCTCAGGAGTGGGGCATATTGGCGTAGATGGGAATCAGTGTCTCCCTGGGCAGCCCTCAGCCTGTCACCCCTCAGGTGAGCAAAGTCTGAAGTATGTCTTCTGCACAGTCACCCCAGGGTCCTCTAGAGATTACCACAGGGCAGAATTTCCCCTCGTTGAAAACTGCTGGTGTAAAGAAAAGAACACATCACTGTGTGCAGCACCACCACTGCAGTATGGTCACGTGACTCGTTCTGTTCAGGGATCATTTGCTGCTCTGGAGAAAGGAGATGACAGCACTCCCCACTCAAGATCATATTTGGAGGGGTTAGAATGATGACTCATGAAGCTCCTGGGTACCTGATGTGGGCTTAGTGTTTGGCAGATGCTCAGTGAGCAGTCATGGGTTTTGTGTATTGGGTGCCATGGGTATTAGACCACCTCTGTACTCTAATCCCTAGCACAGTCCTCCCAGGCAAAGGCAAGTACGACTGTCATCATCATCCTCCATTTTGCAGAGATGAAAACAAGCACAGAAAGGTTAAGTAATTGAGCCAGAGTCACAGAGCTGATTCTTGGCATGCCTAAGCTTTGAACACAGGTGGTCTGGCTCCAGATTCTGTGCTTCTAACCATGACTCCACGGATATTGTTTTGACTGGTAGGGGAGAGGGCCTTCATCTCAGGGTCAGATTCAGCCTGCATAGAAATGGTAACTGTCCTTGGTTGATATTCTCAGCGGTCTGGGCCACAGATGGCTCAACAAAAGCAATCATATTTCAGTTTTCATCTGTGACAGGCATGAAATCATTTATGGAGTAGTAACTAAATCAGAAGTCACCAAAAACCCCCTCCCTGTAGACCAAATTTGATCCACTGCCTATTTTTGTGTTTGTTTTTCTTTTTGTAAATAAAGTTCTATTAAAACATACATTACTTTCTTTTTTTTTCATCCATTGCTTTATGTATAATCTGTGGCTACTTTCAGGTCACAGCATCAATGTCCAGTAATTGTGACAGAGATCATATGGCCCACAAAGCCAAAAAATATTTAACGTCTGGCCCTTTGTAGAAAAAGAATCTCATCCTGTGGGCTGGGAGGTGTGGTCATAGATGGTTCTAAACTGCCTTCCAGTGTCTTATCAGCCCTGCTGCACCACTTGGTACTGTGCTGCCCTTCTTTCCTGGAGAGGCAAAGATAGGTTCTAAAGCAGTGCTGGTGAACCTTTGAGAGCTTTCAATATACAAACAGGCCACTGTGGCATGTGTGCCATAGGTTTGCCACCACTTTTCTAAAGCATGTGGGCAGATGCACAGTCTGTCAGTCATCTCAGGCTCCTTTGCTGCTGAGCTTGTCTCTGTTGTTTGGCAGCCACAAGCTACCTGTGCCCACTGAGCCCGTGTTATGTGGCCAGTGGACCTGAGATGCACTGTAAGTATAAAACACAGGATTTTGAAGACCTTACAGTGGACCCTTGACTTAAGAACTCAGTCGGTTCAAGAAAGCTGGTTGTAACTAAGATCTGGATGTTTACCTAGGTACATGGTATAGATAGCAAGAGGCAGATGAATCTTCTGTTAACCTAATTAACCCAAGTTGTTCATGTGTCAGGCTGGTCATAACTTGAGGGTCCGCTGTATATGCAAAAAAAAAAATCTAAAATACCTTGTTAGTAATTCTATATTGATTATATGTTAAAAAGGTAACACTTTGATATAGTGGGTGAAACAAAGTATATTGTCAGAATCTATTTCATGTTTCTTTTTTACCTTTTTAATGTGGCTTCTGGACAATTTCAAATTACATATGTGGCTCTGTCCTGTTCCTTTTGGACAGTGCTGTGCTGAGGCCAGATTTCTCAACCTCACTACGGCTGACATGGGACAAATAATTTTTCGTGTGTGAGCTTGTCCTGTGCCATGTTGAGTGTTGAGCAGCATCTCTAGCCTCCAGCTATGACACGCCATTAGCATTGAGCGAGTACCCAAGTTGTGACAGCCAGAAACGTCTCTACACTTCACCAAAAAGGCCCCAGTTGAAAACGAACAATGTGAAGAGTTTGGAACCAATGGGAAAACAGTAAAGGGGGCATGAGTAAGAGCTCAGAGTCAAATCCCCTGGTTTAGAATTTCAGCTCCTCCATTTAACTAGCTTAAACATTCCATGCCTCAGTTTGCCAATCTGTAAAAAGGGTTAATAATAGTGCTGCCCTCAGTAAGTAATAACTGCTGTTGGTGGAAAGAGAAGGAAGACTTCTGTCATATGAGACCAGCTGTGTTACTGTCTGGCTAGGGTTTGGGAGATGAAGCTGTATCACCACTCTGAGCCTCAGTAACTGCTTCAGTAAAGGGGGAAGAGAAATGCATCTTTTCCAGGGTCACCAAGGACCATAAGGCAAATCTCTACCTAGTCCAGCACTTAGCATGAAGTAGGCACTTTATAAATATATCCCCATTCTTTCTTTACTCAAACACTGTACACATGGGAGCTGTGTGGAGCAGGGGAAGTGTTCGACCCCAAGGAATTGGTTTTTCCAGCTGTCTCCCTGCCCTGCCTCAGACCTTCCACTTGACCACTTCTTTCTATTTTGTGTCTCAAGTTGCCTCCAACCACTCAGGCAGCACTTACTCCATCTCTATTGGCCCTGCCTGGATGATGGTTCCTGCTGGTCAGTCTATGCTGGTGGTGGCCAGGAGTATTCAATGGGCACAAGCCAGATGGGATACCGCCCTCCCCACACTGGGCCTGAAGGAACAGCCCCTCAGTAATGTCTGAGCTCTCCCTCCTTCAGGTGCTGGGTGCCAGCCACCTCTGCCGTGTTGTCATTTATGAGTGTTGATCCCAGGGTAGTTGGGAGGAGGATGCAATGGATGCCTTGATGCTATCTAGCCTTCACACTGCAGAAGGCTGTCGGGGGTGTTGTGGGTTCAGTAGGGAAGGGGCTTCACTGGTGAGGCTCACATAATGTGAGGGGTTGGGATGGAGGCTTGCTCACCACATGTGCACTGAGCTGATCAGTGCTACCCTGAGGCTGGCTGAGAACTGGGCATGTCTTCCTAGGACATTTTGCAGGTCTCACTGGCCCTGCTTAGCCAGCTCGCTGGTGAGTCTGCTTGGGAGGAAGAGTATAACAAGAACCGCGTTCTTCAGGCAGCTTCATCTGTGTCAGTGGGTAGGACTGGCCCTGTCAGCTGCTGAGCTTTGTGACAAGTGGAGCCATGTCCACACTCCTTCCCTCACAGCTCGAAGAGTCACAGTCACACCAATTGTACTTGAGCGGCCAGCGCTTACAGGGAAAGTGTGTGCTCTCTCATTTCCTGGAGTAGAGGTTAGAAAACCATGGCCTGCAGGCCTAATCCAACTTCAGTCTGTATACCCCATCTGCTGAGAATGGTTTTTATGTTCTTAAGTGACTGAATAAAAAAATTATAAGAATGTTTTGTGACATATAAAAATAATACAAAATTCGCATTTGAGTGAACAAAGTTGTGTTGGAACATCCCTATGCTTGTTCATGTGTGTATCTGGCTAAAATTGTCCTCTGACGGCAGAGTTGAGTATATAAAAGTTTACTGAGCTTTGTCATAGAGAAAATGAGAATATTGCCCCATCTAGAACTGCCAAGAAACCAGGAAGCAGACCACAGAAATCATAATACAGTACATATGCATATGTCACTGAATGTTTATTCTGCAGCTGCCAATATTGTGGTTTTCCTTAAGCAAAGAAAGAAAAGATTAGAGACACTGAGTGCTTTGTCCTGGGAGCAGCTAGTCAGGAATAACCAGTGTCCAACAGTTAAAAAAACAAGGTCTCTCCAGTGGAGCTGCTGTATCCACATTATTATAAAAAGATTTGTCAAGTGTGATGGTAGACACCTGTAATCCTAGCACTCTGAAAGGCTGAGGCAGGAGGATTTCAAGCCCAGTGTAGGCAACTTAGTGAGACCTTGTCTTAAAATAAAAAACAAAAACAGGGGCTGGGGATTTAGCTCAGTGGTTTTGCCGCCTGCTGCGCAAGTGCAAGGACCCGAGTTCGATCCCCAGTACCAAAAAACAAACCATCTGTGAATGTAGCTCAGTGTAAAGACCCTGAGTTCAATCCCAAGTACCACAAAAAATAAAAATAAAAAAGTAAAAATACAGATTTGAAAGCTCTGTCTGCAAGAGATTTTAATTCAGTAGGTGAGGGTTACAGGATGGGCACATTGCTTTTTAACAAGCCCTCACAAGACTCGGGATTACCAATCTGTGTGGACCCACTTAGTGGTGCAGCGTTGTGGTTCAGAACCGCGGACAGCACCCCAGCCACACTCCTCTGGGTCTCCTGCCCTAGGGTGCTTTTCCTCTATTGAGATAGGCTCCCTCTCCTCACCACCAGGAGCTCCCAAGAAGTGCCTAGTAGGCTCCCATCCTTCCCATCAGCATCCTGTGAGCACAACTAAATGACAACATGGCGAGGCAGCCTGCTCTGGGATTGGGCCTATTTTCTTGGCTCTAGTTTCTTCCTGTCTCTTTGGCCTTCAACAGCTCTGCCCATATGCTGGAGCTTTTGCATCACGGTGGTGGCTTTCATTGGATCAGGTGGGCTCAGGGCTGGAGTCAGACTGTGATCAAGGTTCTATTTTCTACTTTCACATTGGAGGTCTTTCCTTGTCCCTCTGCTAGCCTGGAGGGGAGCTAACTGCTTTGGGTAAGGTTTCTGTGACCCACACAGACTTAATCAGGGCTCTTCTTCTGTCCCTTCCATATACCACAGTCCCCCCGGATCTGATGGATGTCTCTGTGAGCAACCTCCCATCCCTATGGCAACCCAGCCCCCGAAAATCCTCCTGCTCATCCTGTTCACAGACTGGCTCAGCTGATGGTAGCTCAAACAGTGGCTGCAACCACGAAAGGTAGGAGGGGCTTGCATTGTGGTTGAAAGAGACTGAAGGGTTGACCGGGGCCTTATGGATGCCCATTACTTGCCATGCAGTGAATTTGGAGTCGTGAACATAGGCCTATGGAATCATCCAGAGCTATGTTAAATCTTGGCCTTGTGCAGTCTTGGCTGCTGGAGGTTGGTTAGGTGTGTCAGTCAGGACAAACAAGGGTATGGCGTGGTAAGTCTTGATACCTCATTGGCTTTTTATCGCAAATTTTATCTGTCACACATGCTATGTGTCTATCATAGGTCAGCTGAGAGTCTGCTTTCTCCAAACCAAAGGGCCTGGCTGATGGAGTAGCCACTATCTTGAATGTTACCAGTCAGAATGTCAGTGGGAATGGTACCTCTGGAGGGGCTTAGCCAACAAGAAATGTTGGTTATTTCTACTCCCAACTCTTTGGCCCTACCCACAAGGAAGCACACTCCTACCATGTGCTTGGAAGGCAAAAACAATGACAACCACCTATGTCTCAGTTTGCTCTTCCACAAAATACTTACTTCATAGGACTGTAAGGATCAGATCAAATAATGATTTAATGTGGCCAGCATGAGATACCTGGCACATGGTAATGTTCAATAAATGACACTTTTATTATACAAAGTTGAATCTCAAGTTCATCTCCTTCCTTGCCCACAGAGCTTCTGTCTCTTTGAACTAAGCCAGTTCAGAATGGTCTGTTTCCCACTGGAACACCCAGGGAAAAGGCACTCCTTGTCCTTGCTAGGCATTTGTTCTAATGGGAGCTCCAGTCTTTATCCATACACGCAGAGTCTGTGCTTAATACCACCCCAAGATCATGTATATATATTTAAGTGTGAGAAATTCTAATGTAACTGGAGATTCTCAAACTTTGAGTCACCTGGGGGAGGTAGCAAACCATAAGGCCCAGGAATCTACATGTTATAGAAAGTCCAAGTGACTATTGGACTGGCCCAGTTGTGTCTGTGGGCCGTTGATAAATGCTGCTTTACCCAGTACCCACTTCCATAGTGTATGCTTACCTACCTGTAAAAATGGGAAGCTCTTTACCTTGCAGAGAGCATCAAGTCAAGTTTTCAGTGTGATGCTGTTCTTATGTAACCTGAGCATGTCTGAATCTTACCAGTCTGAGGGCACAAAGGGGGCCACTTAAATGTTTAAAGCTTCCTCTCTAGTTTCCCTGGGTTTCTCTCGGTGTCTCCTGGGATGTCCTAAGAATGAATATATAGATATCCTTCCATTCAGTCCTCTGTAGGAGTACATGACACTTCCTGTGGCAGTCCTTGTTTCTCCAGCAATGCTGGGGTCCCCACTCTTTTCTTTTAGTCAGAACAGCACCTAAAAATTCCTGTGCAAAGAGAAGCTTTTAAGCATCACCTCTTTTGTAATCAGCCAAACTCTGAATCCCAGTTTGGCTCACTAGGTCATTTTAAGAGCTCTTTCTGCAAGTGACAGAAACTTACGTGAGACAAGTTCAGGAAAAGAAGGAGGAAAAATGTGTTTCCATAACTGAGAAGTTCAGATGCACAGTAGCTTCAGGCCTGATCCAGATACTCAAGATAAGAATCCCTGTGTTCTTTTAAACGTTGTCTCTGCTTGCCTTTGTGCTAGTTCCCCATGCAATGGCAAAGATGGTTTCCAGCAACTCTGATTATATGTCCCACTACGTTAGAAACCCAAGCAGAAAAAAAGAGTGTTTCCTAGTAGTTCCAATGACAGTCGCAGGGCTGATTCTCATTGGCCCTGTTGGGTCACGTGATCACCTCTGAGCCAAATACCTTAGCTCCATCCTAGATCGCACACTAGGTAGACTTATCCACCCACAGAGACTTATAGGTGGTTCCTCAAAGGAAAATGTGGGTGCAGATAGCAGGACAGCCATGCTGCTGGGTGGGTGGGAATCCTAGCAGCCCAAGCTGCAGTCCCCAGGCTGGCTGATTTTAATCTACCCTCAAGAGTGAATGAAGTGAGGTCTTCAGACAATCCGTGCCGAGTATAGTTCTGTTCTAAGCATCTCCCTCTCTCTGCACCTGCAGGGCTCCTCTGAAACTGCTCTGTGACAATATGAAGTACCAGATCCTTTCCAGAGCCTTCTATGGATGTAGGTATCTATAATCATTGATGGTGTGGCATCCAAGGAGCATTTATTGAGTGGCTACTATATGTCAACAATAGCAGGGGAAGGAGCCAGACTCTGGAGTTTGAACTTCTGCTCTTCTATTTCCTAGATGTCTGGTTTTGAGGAAATTGCATTAACCTCCAGTTTCCTCATCTACAGATCAGGTGTACATTTTATCCCTGAATCCTAAGAGGGTGGTGAACACTTGGGCCCCTGGGCCAGGGGTTTGGTTTAATCACCACTGCACCCTAAGCCTCACCTTGGAGGGTTTGTTTTCAGGATTGGATGAGAAGCTTTTATAAAGCCCCTAATACTTCATATGGCATGTTGCAGGTGCTCAATAAATGTCTGTTCCCTTCTCCTGTGGGAAGAAGAGTAATGTGATCTGATCCCTTTCCTGAAACTTTAAAATTCCTAATCAGGTATCCTATTCTGATAACTCTCATTTATCAGGTGAGGAAACTAAAGCAGAGAGGCAAAGGGATTTGCTGAGGGTCGCACAGCTAACAGAAAGGAGAGCTGGCACTTGAACATGGCCTACCTACCTCTCCAGGCTTTGATTTTCTCCTCTCTGCTGTATTGATTCTTAGCAGGTTTTATTTCCCCAGCTCCAAGGCTTAGATGGGGGAGATAAAACATGCATTTTCAAGCATTCTAGAAAAGTCTTAATCCGACCCGCATGGGCCTGTGTGTGCAGTAGTAGTGCAGGTCACCTCTATGAGCCTGGAGAGGCACAGAGAGCATGAGCTCCACTCAGACACCTTGAGAAAGGTGACAAAACCTTCTTAGGGATAAGCAGTCAAGCCAGCAAATGACATCACTCCTCCCTCCTAGTCTCATTTTCTTTGTCTGGCAAAGGGAGTGATGAGAATTTGCTCATTGTGGGGTCCAGGAAGCTGGGAAGCAAGACAACATTTTGCAGACTCCATGAGACAAGGCAGGGGGTATTGTATGGTAGATGATGATGCTTTCCTTCTCTGCCCTGCAGGGCTTGCCTACTGCAGACACCTGTCCACTGTGAGGACGCATCTGTCAGCCCTCGTCAACCACATGATTGTGTCTCCAGACATGCCCTGTGACGCTGGGCAGGGACTGACAACTGGGATCTGGGAGCAGTACCTTCAGGACAGCACAGTAAGCCTGGGCAGGGCTTGGGCTGCGGTAGGGTGGAGGCTGTTGTGTCTTCTGAGGAATAAATGCCCCTGCTTTTGGGTACTCAAGATCCACATGCCTGGGTTGCCCATATGCACATTGAAAGGCCCTCGTATTCTTGAGAGTTCCAAACTCACAACTCTGCCTGTTAGGGTTAAAATTGAGGGACTGAAAAACATATACAGGTTAGCATCCCTTATGTGAAAATCCAAAATTGAAAATCCTCCGAAATCCCTAACTTTTTGAGCAGGGACTTGACACCACAGTCGAAGATTGTATATACAGCCACCTGACCATATATGCTGGGTTAGAGTCAAAACGCACATGCACTAACGATATCTGTATAAAATTACCTTCAGGCTATTCATATAAGGTGTAAATAAAACACATGAATTTTGTGTTTAGATTTGGGTCCCTTCCCCCAAGATATTTCATTGCATATATGAAAAAAACTACAAAATCTGAAATCCAAAACACTTCTGGTCCTAAGCATTTTGGATGAGAGGTGTTTAACCTGTATGCTCTCCTGAGAGTAAAGCATTAATCAGTTTGTGAGCATTTGTTATTGTACACTGGCCGTACACTGTCCTGCACAAGTTGCTGCCATCTGTGTCTAGCTCATGGAATTTGTGATCTAGGTGAAACTACAAGGAAAGCACCTGAGTTTGAGGGAGGCAGCGAGATCACGAAGAGCTTTTCCACCACTGCTGGAACTCTTTTCTCCCATCTCCTTCTTTGGGCCTGAAGTTCCGCAAAGATACTTTGCCTAAAGATTCCTTGAATGCTTTCTAAGATTTCCTTAGTAAAATCCAAATGTCTCTGGAAGGAAAATGTGTATGTTTGAAAAATTTCATCATCAGATGGTTAGGGAAGCCAAGTATGGTGGTGCATGCGAGTAATCGTGGCACTCTGGGAGGCTGAGGCAGGAGGATTGCAAGTTTGAGGCCAGCCTGGGCAACTTAGTGACTTACTGAGGCCCTGTCTCACAGAGAAAAAGTTGAAAAGAGGCCTGGGGATATAGCTCAGTGCAAAGGCACAGGGTTCAATCTGCAGTATTGCTCCAAAGACAGGGTTCTTTAAAGGTTAAATCATTTTCTAAATTTAGTGGGACTTCCGAGAACTTTGGCTGTGCTGATATCCTTATCACACTCAAGAAATCAGGGGTATGGAGGCAAGCATGTAGAACAGGGATGGCAAACCTTTTAGAGTTCTCAATGACAGAAACAGTCCACTGCAGCACACGTGCCATAGGTTTGCCACCATTGATGAAAAACATTCTCTCAAATATATTTGACCACAGAAACCTTTGTTGGAAAAATCCATCCCATGGCTCATGGAAGGCAGAACTCATTTTAGGAAGCACTAATTTATGCCAAGAACAGGATTTTGGCGAAGGCACCTGTTTCCTCCACCTGAGTGGATCTGGTGGCCCTATTGGCTTTGTGCCTTCCCACCAGGTGCTGGAGAAGCCCAGCTGGGGAGCACCTGGGATGAGCTGGTCCCCATACCCTGTGAGAAGCTGCTCTGTGACCATTCCTGGGGAGTGGGAAAGTTGCCCGTGGATTCAGTAGGAAAAACACATTGATTCCCAAGCCTAGACTAAAAGAATTATTTTTCTTTTCACCAAAAATAGTTGTTTTTTTAAGTTACAGGAGTAATGCTCTTTTATTATAATAATTCAAAGAATAAAGAATGAAAGTATATAAAATTTAAAAATTAAATATTTCCATGATCCCCTGCGTGAATGGTTGGTCTCACTTGGTGTAGAATGTTCTTTGTATTTCATATGCTTACCCATCGCAATATCTATGTCCTTATACCTTATCTATATCTCTGTATCTGTAGCTATAGATACAGAGCCATGTGGAGTCATGCATAGATCTAATATATATATTATAGCTTATCTGTATATCTGTAATATATAAGATGATAGATATATAACTTATTGTATTTTTATATATAAATCTACATAACTATAGATATATTTATAGATGTATCTGTATATGTTATACAGGTTATATTTCTATATCTTTTATATTTACATAGATTTGTTACCTATATCTAGGTATCTATCTTATTTTTGATCTCTTATGGAATAATTATTATATATAATATATAGGTAGATAAATCTATAAAGTATTACTGAGGTATATAAGTCTATACCTCAATATTTATATCTTCCTTACCATATCCTTTATTTTTAAATGTGTTAATGTTATACATACTTGTGTTTTAAGTTTTTTTTCTTTCCGGTACTGGGAATCGAACTCAGGACCTTATGCTTGTCAGGCAGGTGTAGTGCCACTGAGCTACATCCCCGGCCCATGACCCACCCACTTTTATGTCCACTGAATGAATAAACATCTCCAGATTTCTAGATGAGATAGTGAATGTTCCAACTTTGCACCTCGTATGAATAGCCCATAACTTACTCAAATCTTCCCCTAATAACAAACATCTGCATTCTTCCTTTCTCTTTAAAAAGTTATTTCAAACAACATTGCAGTCAAGATAATTATAAGCACAGATCTTCCTGCTCTAGTATTTTTATTTCAAGAATGGGCTTCTGGAAGTAAAATTGATTGCCATGCATTTACATTTTAAATAGATAGGCCAACTTACTTTCTCAGAAGGTCAAAGTATTCATAATCCCCTGCAGTATGAGTGTGTATGTTTCCCGAGAAATTTAAAACATCATAGATTTCTCAGCTCAGCTCCAGCTCAAACTAATGTAGCATCTCCAAGAGTGGAGCCCAAGAATCTATATATTTTGAAAGTTCCCCAAGTGCTTTGGTGAATCTTCCCAATTTGGAAGGCATTAATCTAAGGACAAATCAGTTGAAACAATAAATTGACCAAGAGTGAATATTTTTTATCTAACATATACTTTTCCCACCCTGTTTGGCCACATTTTCACTTTTGGTTGCATTGTCATATTAGGTTAGACTGAGCAATGGTAATCGCCCCACTATTTGGGTTGCTTGATACCATGGGGTTTTATTTCTTGTGTACTGAATATCCTGGGTGGGTGTTTCTGATGAGTGGGCATCTGTCCTACCCCAGAGATTTAGGCTCCTTCAGCTTTGTGATCCAACCATTCTTCAAGGGCTAGTGGTCATCTGCCTCCAGACAGCAGGAGGGGAAATAGTGGGGAGGGAATCTATCTGCTTTTTCCTGTCCTTGGCCTAAAAGTGGATTACATTACTTTCTTTCATAACTGCCACAAATAATTTTCAAACAGCTTCACAAAGCTGTCTGTGTAATACAAGTCAGAATTCCCAAGAGACAAAAGAACGGTTGGCTTTTCCATGGTGATTGATACATCTAAGACTAGGCTTACTACGAAGAACAGACTTTTAATGTTACAGTATGCAGTAAAGAAGTGAGGGGAAGGGCTGGGGATTTAGCTCAGTGGTTCCAGCGCCTGCCTCGCAAGCGCAAGGTCCTGAGTTTGATCCCCGGTACCAAAAAAAAAAGAAGTGAGGGGAAATAAAGCAGCCTCCTGTAGCCGCAAGCACAAGTACTGCTGGGACCTGCTGTTTCCTCAGTTCAGCTAATCCTAACTGCAAATATTTTGTCTGAAAATGATTTTTTTAAGTGGGCACATCTGTTCCACCTACAATAAAGCAGACAGTTGTTAATATCATGCTAGTGTGCACAAAAGTTATTAGTATATGAAGTCTCAACTAGACATGTTCATTTCAGATGAATTCACTTTAGAGTTCTTTTCTTAGAGCTGAGTCAACAGGAATAACTCCAACATAGTATTTCCCAATAAGCACAACATGAAACATTGACTGAAAGTTAAATAGAAATGTTAATTCATTATATACTGGCCTTTTTAATTTTCTTTATAAAATGATTTCATTCTACACGTTTTGTGTATTTTTTGTTGTTGTTATTTTTCATTTAATACACAATGAACATCTTTCATGTAGGATAACCTCTTTCCTTTTTAAACCTCTTATGGGGTTCTCACATAGGTACACATAGTCTCCCATTGGTGAGCAGTTGGGGTGGGGAGTTACCCACATTTGGCTTTTTCCTATGATGTTCCAGTATATCCAGGTACACAGGACTGTGCTCATTTCTGCTAGGACCTCTAAAGCTGTTTCTGATAGGCAAGACTGCTGAGCCGTAAAGCCACCCACTGGATATCTGTGGACCAAACCCTTTTTGTCCCCCACCACTGCAGAGTTATGAGGAGCAGGAACTGCTGCGTCTAATCTATTATGGAGGCATCCAGCCAGAGATCCGCAAGGCTGTGTGGCCCTTCCTCCTCGGCCATTACCAGTTCGGAATGACGGAGACAGACAGGAAGGAGGTTGGTTAACCATGATGGGTACCAAAGTCTTTGGCTGCCAAAGGAGCCCAGGTGCTGTGGGGTGAAGGAGCTCTCGTTCCATGTTGAACCAAGGTGGGCAGGGGACAGTTGAAATAGCTTGGATCTCGAGGGTAATGCTGTCTAATAGAAGTACAACACAAGCCATATATGTAATTTCTAAATAAATCTTTCATTTTGAAATCATTATAAACTCATACACAGTTGCAAGAAGTAATGCAGAGCTAGGTATGGTGACATGCCTGTAATCTCAATATTCTGGGAGATTGAGACAGGAGAATCACAATTTCAAGCCCAACTTGGGCAACTTAGCCATTTAGCAAGACCTTGTCTCAAAATAAAACATTAAAAATGGCCTGAGGATATAGCCCTGGGCTTAATTCTCAGTACTACAAAAAACCCAAAATGGTGTGAAACAAAACAAAACAAAAAAATAAAAACCCTGTGTATCCTTTATGCAGCTTCCCCCAATGGTGACACCTAGCAAAGCTGTGATGTAGTACAGTAATGCTGTCAGGGTATTGACCTTGGTATGGTAGATCTATTGATTCAGTTGTATCTGTACTCCTTTGTTTGTGTGTATTTAGTTCTCCTCACTTTTCTCACATGTGGAGATTTGCACTCACCACAGTCAACATACAGAAAATTTCTGATGCTGTAAGGATATTCTTATTCTTTTATAGCCACCCTACCTCCCTCCTAACCTCATCCCCAACCCCTGGCAGCCACTAATCTCTTACCATTTTCTATGTGTTAAATAAATGAAATCGTATAGCATGTAACATTTTGGGATTGACTTTTTTCATTCAGCATCAGTCTGTGGAGCTCCATATAAGTTGTCAAATCAGTAGGTAGAAAAAAAATCAGTAGGTAGGTATACCCCAGTTTGATTCACCTGTGGATAGGCAGCTAAGTTGTTTCCAGTTTGCTTGTTTTTTTTAGTATGAACAAAGCTGCAGTGGACATTCACGTACAGGTTTCCGTGTAAGCATTAGTTGTCATTTCCCTGGGATAAATGCACAGTGGTACAGCTGCTGGTTGGTATGGTAGCGGCAAACTGCCACACTCTGGCAGCATCTGTACCCTTTTACATTCCCTCCAGCCACATATGAGTGAGCCACGCCTGCATCTTCACCAGAGTTTGGTGCTGCCACTGATTTTTGTTTTGTTTGATTGGTTGGTCTGCTTTGTTTTAGGGTTTTTTGTTTGTTTGTTTTTTAGCCACTCTGGTAGGAATGAATCTAAATGACATTTCATTGTGGTTTTGATTTGTGTTTCCTAAATGGCTGGTGAGGTTGAATACTTTCCTGTGTACTTGGTGGCCATCACTTACCTCCTCTGGTGAATTGTCTGCTCATGTCTTTGTGGATCTTTTTATTGGATTGTTTGGTTTTTGACTGTTGACTTTGAGAGTTCTTTTATATACTCTAGATAATTATCCTTTGTCAGATAAGAGTTTTGCAGATATTTGCCCCTAGTTTGTACCTTGTCTTTTTACTATTGTAAAAGGATCTTCTGCAAAACAAAATTTTTTTTTGGTACTGGGGATCAAACTCAGGACCTCATGCTTGCCAGGCAGATGCTATGTTGCTGAGCTATATCTCCAGCCCCAAAATCTTTTAAACTAGGCCATCACATACACTAGGCAAGTGCTCTACTAGCTGTATCCCCAGCTATCTCCAGCTATCTCCAGCTAGCTATATCTCCAGCTATATCCCCAACCACTTTTAAAATGTTTTATGAACTCTACTCTGACCATTTTTCCTTTTAGAGATTGTGTTTTTAGGGTCAAGTCTAAGAACTTTCCAGCCTGCCCTGGGTCCAAAGATTTTCTCATTTTTTTTCCTAAAACTTCTGTAGTTTTATATTGTACCTGCAAGTCTGTGATCCATTATGAGTTCATTTTTGTGTCTGCTATGTCATTTAGATTAAGGTTCATTTTTAAGCTGTGGTGTTCTGTTACTCCAGCATCCTGTGTTGAAATGGTTCGCATTCTTCCATTGAGTTGCTTTTGTACCTTTGTCAAAAATCAGTTAATGTATATGTGTATGTCTGTACTTCTGGTCGTCTATTCTGTTGTATTAATTTCTATGTCTATACTACTGCTAATACCATACTGTCTGCATTATGGTGACACATACAAAATTTTAAATGTTTTAATAGCCACATTTTTTTTTTCGGTGCCAGGGGTGGAACTCCGGTCCTTGCACTTGCGCAACAGGTGGTGATACCACTGAGCTAAATCCCCGGCCCTTAATAGCCACATTTTAAAACGTGAAAAGACAGAGGTAGGGGTTATAGCTCAGTGATAGAGCACTTGCCTAGCAAGACCCTGTGGTTTGAATTCTCAGCACCACAAAAAATAAATAATAAAAGTAGAAAGATGTGATTAATATCTTTAAACATTGTATTTTAATATAATTATAAGTTCACGAGAAGTTGTAAAACTAGTACAGAAGTGCTGTGTACCCACCCAGCCCTCTCCAGTGGTAACATCCTATGCAAGGACAGCACATGAGAAAAACCAGGGCCTAGCATTGTCCTAGTACAACTCGCTAGCTCCAGGCCTTACTACACTCTCACCAGCTTTTGCTTCTGCACACATGTATGTGTGTGGGGGCGGAGGGATGTTCTATAACATTTCTTCAAGGTAAAATTCATTTTAATAGATTTTCTTAACCCCAGTATATAATCATTTCAATATGTAATCAATATAAAAATCACTAATGATGTATTTTACACTCATTGTTACTGTTTTGAAAATCTATGGTATTTTATTCTTCCTCTCTATGTACCACCTGTACTGATTTGATATTTGTCTTTTAAAAATCAACTCACTTGGCCCGAGGATTTAGCTCAGTGGTTCCACTGCCTGCCTCACAAGCTCAAGGTCCTGAGTTCGATCCCCGGTACCAAAAAAAAAAATTTCACATAACTTATTTTACTTTTATTTTTTTGGTACTGGGGATCGAACTCAGTACCTTGTGCTTGCAAGGCAAGTGGTGGCACCACTGAGCTAAATCCCCAACCCACACATAACTTATTTTAGAAGATATTTTATATTCTTGCCATAAATATGAAACCACTGTGACTCACGATAAACAGAAGAACTATACATCATTTAGAATAAAACCAAATGATGTAATTGAGTTGTAAGTAGATGCCATAGAAAAGAGGAGTTTGAAAGTTACCAGCACAAAAAATGATAAATGTTTACGGAGAAGGAAATTACCCTGATTGTTACATATTGTATCGGTTTTGGGGGGGGGGGGGGTTGGTACCGGGGATCCAACTTGGGACCTTGTGCTTTTGAAGCAGGTGGCAGAACCACTAAGCTAAATCCCTGGCCCTTGTTACATATTGTATACATTTATGAAATTATCACACCGTACCCCATAAATATGTACAACTGCAGTATGCCAATTAAACCTTAGGAGGGGCTGGGAATGTAGCTCAGTTTACCACCTATATACCACAGCACTTGCATAGCATATGTGAAGCCTTGGGTTCCATCCTCAGTACTGAAGAAAAGAGCAAAGACTTTCTCTTTTTTTTTGGTACTGGAGATCGAACTCAGGACCGTGCTCGTGCAAGGCAGGCATGGTGCCACTGAACTAAATCCCCAGCCTGACAAAGACTTTCTTGAAAGGGAGGTTATCAGGTGTTAAGAAGGTATTGACCACAGTAATACCAGGCTGACCCTATTCTCCTGGTGGAATCAGACTTGGAAGAGTTAAAGGTGGGAAGTTCCAGAAGTTCCGTAGGAGAATCTGTGCACGTGAACCATAGTCACCTCAGCCCCTGTGTAAGGCCACCCACATTCATCCCATGTCTGCTGGGTGCTGGGCAAACAGTTACTGAGGATCTGGGCATCCCCAGGTACACTAGGTGAGCTCCTTGCCAGGTATTGAGTTGGCAGTCAGTGATACGGTAGAGGCCAACCTGAAGCTATGCCAGCACCTGGAGGGCACCTAAGACAGGCAGGAGGGAGAGTCTGGCCAAGAAAAGGCCCTGGAGGAGCTGCTGAGACCCACATTCTTCAGGAGTTGCATTCCAGGCAAAGAGGATGAGGAGAGACCTTAGGGAAGGAGGATAGCAAGAGCACAGAGGGGAGGCAGCATGATGTGAGGTGTGTGTCTGTGTGATTCATGGGGAGTGGGGAGAAAGACATGGTGGACATGAGTTGCTGAAACAAAGGCCTGAAATAAGGGCAGCTGTGAGAGGTGAGGCCGGAGAGGAGATGAGAATGAAGGTTGCTGAGTGGTATATGAATAGAAGGGGGCAAGCTAGGATAAGCAGGGACCCGAGAAGAGACTGCTGGGGTCATCCAGGTGAGGGGTGGTGGAACCTGGCCTAGGATGCCAGGAGGGCAGGACTTGGAGGAGCCTCAAGGAGTTTGATGAGGACCCAGGCCAACCTTGGGCAGATGGGCGTAGACCCACACCCTCTCTTTGCCTCCTGCCCATATGTGCCCAGGTATCTGACAGGTTCAGGTCCTCAAGTCACCTGGGCTGTGTGACTCAGGGACAAGGAGAGCCCCCCCCCAATGTCTCTGCTGAGATCCCACCCACAGAGAGACAATTTGAAACCTGTAGCCTTCTAGCAGGCCATGGCTGCATGGAAAGAAACCACATTGGTTTGATTCATCCTTGTGTTCTTAGCTCTTGGCCCCATGTTAGCCATGTGGGAGGCCCTCAGTAATGCATTGTGTGAGTGGATGGACAGCTGGCTGGATGGATATTAGGTTACTCATTTTATATTCCATATGCCTGACTTGATGGCTGGCATATTGTAGCTACATAACAGATTAAAGGAATGAGTGGATGAATGAGTGAGTGAATTAATGAATGAAGAACTAGAGAAGGAAGGTAGTAAAGAAAAGAAAGTATCCTCACTTTTGTTGCTCCAGAGCCTAGTAGACTGATACATGGTGGGGACTCAACAAGTGGTTGAATGGATTTATGAGTGAATGAATAAAGGAAGGGAGGGAGGAAGGAATCTTGCCCCTTGTCTATCTCCTGGCCTAGCCCATGTGAAACATAACATAGTAGGTGCTTAGTTAATACCTGCTGGGTGCTTATTGAATATGTGCTGGAGCAGTCAAAGCCATTCTCTTCCATATGAGGCTGGTTCTGCCCAAGGGCCCCAGCCCCTTGGGTGAACTTGCATCTGCCCTGGCAGGTAGATGAGCAGATTCATGCCTGCTATGCACAGACCATGGCTGAGTGGCTGGGCTGCGAGGCAATCGTGCGGCAGAGGGAACGGGAGTCACATGCAGCTGCCCTGGCCAAATGCTCATCGGGGGCCAGCCTGGACAGCCATCTGCACCGGATGATGCACAGGGACTCCACCATCAGTAACGAGGTGAGGAATCTCTGGCCTAGGGGAGCACCAGGGTGGTGATGGCCAGTATCTGCTCCATCAGGCTGTTTCTAGAGTGGTGACGGCTGGGTGTTCAGGGCCTTGGGACAGCCTCGCCCTTAGCTGCTTTTGAGGAGGAGGAAAGATGTAGGGGGAAATCACATTTAGGTTTAAATTCCAGCACTAGCTCTAGGATCTCCTACAAGCACCTTCTCTTCTGGGCATTTCTGCATCCGTAAGATGGGGACAGTCAAATGGAGAGAGGTTTGTATGCAGCTCAAACAAGACAGTGTACAAGGCATAATCCAAACGTACAGTAAATGTATAATTCTAAAAATGTTATTACAGTTTCTATTATCCCCCTCATAATATCCCCATTGCTTTGCACACACCCGATCATTCTTGCCATTTTGAAGCAGTTGTGGAAGTCGTCTTTTGTGAGTGTCTTTAATTGCACAGTCATGGCCGCCTCAGTGTCCCCAAGTCAATTCAAAATATCTACCTTTTGTAGTCATTTTTTTTTTTTTTTTTGGTACTGGGGATTGAACTCTGGACCTTATGCTTGTGAGGCAGGCGCGGTGCCACTGAACTAAATCCCTGGCTCATAGGCATTTTTACTTTGGGGAAGAGCCAGAAATCTTACAGTACCAGATCTATAAATAAGGGGTCTGAGGAAACACTCTGTTTTTATGAGCCTGCCTTTCCATCGGATGGCACTCAGCAGCAGCATTCACCATATTTTTAATCATATCTTGTAAAGACACTCACAAAAGAAGACTTCCACAACTGCTTCAGAGACAACTGCTTCATGACTAATGGGATAAATAAGTGTGTTCAAAGTGATGCGGAGTACTTTGAGGGAGATTAATAGCAATCTTGTCTTTTACTGTAATTTTTTAAATTTTACACTATTTTGATTGGCCTTTGTGTATCAGATAGCAAGCACAGTGTATCAACAGAGGCTTACTGAGTACCTACAATATGCTAGGTACTATCAGGAATGTGCTAGTAGCCAAGCAGACATTTCTGGGCTCATAGAACCTCAGCTGAACAGCCCACAGAAGGACCTCGAACAGTTCATTCTTCTCACCAGGGTAGTATCATCCTCAGTTGCCTCAGGAAAACTGCAAAATAAAAACCACCTGAAGCCAGAAATTTCCATTCATCCACACTGTGCTCAATATTTTTGCCCCTGAGTCTGTGGGTGAGCTGTGCACCTCTGCTCCAAGTTGCGCTGCTGCCAGCTATCAGTGGCTGTCACCTACAAAGTGGTTCATGTTGATTGTACTGCCTGCCCCATCTGGGGCCTCGGCTCTGCTCAGTGTGTCTTACCCTCCATCAGGCTATCGGAGGCTGCTCTCACGGTGAAAGCAGATGCTAATGAGAGAAAGCAGAAGTGCACAAATATTTTAAGTCTCTGCTCTGTTAACCTATTGATTAAAGCGAACCACATGACCAAGCCTTGCCTTAGGGTGGGCAGACACCATGAAATTAGAGGACAAAAGGCTTGAATACAGGAAGTGGGTGAAACATTGAGGCAATAATAGAACCAGTTACTCTGAGTGAAAGTAATTCATCAGCCAGAAGTCTCCAGTTTAACAGAGCCATTAAGGGAGGGGTGCTCTAGTTGCCAAAGATTGGAAGTAGGGACCCACAGGCCAAAGTAATCCCTGAGGAGGCCCCTGGGTTCAGGAGTGGTCTCTCTTTTCTTACACTGGACAACTAGGAAGGTGAGACCCTCAGAGGGGACTTGTCCTGGCCAGGAGTAAAGCTGGAACAGATTTCTTGGCTTACAGCCCAGCTTTCCCTCCTGAGCAGGGTGAGAGCAGCCTCAAGGACTCTCCCCCCAGCTTCTCTTTCTCTCAGTCCTCGCAGAGCTGCAGTTCCGGCCGCCAGAACCTCTGCCTGCAGAGTGACTCCAGCAGCAGCACACAGGTGACTTCCAGAGGCCCTGTTCCCCACCTGGGGTAGTGAGAACTGAATGCCTGTCTTCTACTGGTCACTTTTGGTTTATGTGTTTTAGCTTCTAATGCTAGCATTAAAAGTGGATTTTTTAGCAATACAGTATAGTCAGCCTCTATGATTCTGTTTTCCCTGTAAAATGTTAAAATATTGCAGAGGAAGCTAAGCAGACTTCTCTCTTCCTTCACCTCACATGCCCTGCTTTGAGATAACACCACTTTCACCAGTCTGCTGTATCCTTTCAGCACCTTCCACATGCCTTCACATACGTAGAAGTATTAGATAATATGTAACAGCAGTTAGTAGTTTTTAAAAATTTCTACATAAATGCCATCATTATATCATTCAACACTTTTCTATTTTACTCAATGAAAAGATAATTCACTAATATTGAAGAGAAAAATAAAGTGCAAAAATATGCATAGTACATCAGTTTTTGTGTAAAAGAAAAGAAATACTTTGAAGTGAAAAATCTAATTTTAACTCTGGGATTAAAAAGAATTACATATGTTAAATCAATCAAAAAGAAGTACTTGAAAACACAGATATGAACTGGGAGTGTAGCTCCATGGTAGAGCACTTGCCTAGCATGTGAAAGCGCTGGGTTTCATGCCTACTACTGCAAAAATACAAAACAGAACACATGAGACTGACTAAATCCAGTTGAAAGGGTAGGGCCTAAGGACATAAAGAACTACAAATGATCTTTAAAATGTATTCTGGACATCAGGGATTTAGCTCACTGGTTCCAGCGCCTGCCTCGCAAGCGCAAGGTCCTGAGTTCGATCCCTGGTACCAAAAAAAAAAAAAAAAAGCTGTACAAAACTAAAATGTATTCTGGAGACACTTTTATAGTATTTCATATATAGCTAACTGGTTTTGAACGTTGATCCATAATAGCCCACCCACCACATGGAGAGAGTAAATTTTTAGCCTATTTCTTACATTAACTAACTTTTTACTTAGAAAAAATGACATGCACATGGTGAAAGCTTATCTGAGGAAATTATTCTCTGCCAGTGCACTACTCTCCTTAGAGTCCTCCGTGGTGCTTTCCTGTTTCTTTCTGAACCATCTATTCCTATCAAAGTACTCAGACCCCTTTTTTCTTTGTCACACCTTATTCTTCCTCACTCTTCTCACCGATGGTGTAGCATTTCCCTGCATGCGTGTTCCATCCTGAAACCCATCCTCTGGATTGGATATTTAGGTTGCTGCCATATGTGGTGCTGCCATGCACATCCTAGCCCATCTGTCTTTGTGTCCTTGTCTACAGGTGTTTGAGTCCGTGGATGAGGTTGAGCAAGTGGAAGTAGAAGGCAGGATGGAGGAGAAACTGCCCAAGATCCCTAACGGGAACCTGGCAAATGGCACTTGCTCCCCAGATTCTGGTCATCCTTCTTCCCACAACTTCTCCTCTGGCCTCTCAGAGCACTCAGAGCCCAGTCTGAGCACAGAAGACAGTGTCTTGGAGGCCCAGCGGACCATCCCCCCCGTGCTTCGACCTGGGGACAGCAGCGTGGAGGATGGGCAGAGCAGTGAGGCCACCACTTCCCGGGATGAGGCCCCTCGGGAGGAGCTAGCTGTGCAGGACAGCCTGGAGAGCGACCTTGTGGCCAATGGGAGCATGGATGAGTTCATGTCCATCACTGGCAGCATGGACGTGGCCCTGTCTGAAAAGGACGGTACAGCGGTGGAGGGCTGGCAGAGCAGGGAGACAGAAAAGCACAGCCAGGTGGACAGTGAGGACAACCTGTCGGAGGAGCCAGAGATGGAAAGCCTCTTCCCTGCTTTAGCTTCTTTGGCCGTGACCACTTCTGCCAACAGTGAAGCATCCCCCGTCTCTTCCAGTGGCGTCACCTACTCTGTAAGTCACTGGGACACTCTCTCTCTCTCTCTCTCTCTCTCTCTCTCTCTCTCTCACCTCCAGCTGAGGGAGCTAGGGATGTACCACAGCCTCCTTTACCCAGAATGACCCAGGAGTGACACCACTGGTTTGTTCCATATTATCTGTCATGGGGGAGTCATGTAGAAACCAGTTTGGGAGAGAGAATAATGTAGGTTGAGCATCTCTAATGCAAAATCTAAAATCCAAAATCTGCAATGCTCCACTCTGAGCACAATGACATGCACCTGTTATCTCAGCCATTCTGGCAGCTGAAGCAGGAGGTTCACTTGGGCCTGTGAGTTCAAGGCCAGCCTAGGAAAACAGCAAGACCCATCTCAAAAAACAAAACGAAAACAAAAGTGCTCCAAAATCTGAAACTTTTTGAGCACTGAATTGGCACCACAAATGGAAAGTGTCATACCTGACCTTATATGATGTGTTGCAGCCAAAATGCACAAAATTATTTACTGTATTGTATAAAATTACCTTCAGGCTATGTGTATAAGGTGTATGTGAAACATCGATGTGTTTCATGTTTAGACTCAGGTCCTATCCCCAAGAATATTTCACTGTATATGTGCACATATTTCAAAACCCCAAAATAATCTCAAATGCTCCTGGTCCCAAGCATTTCAGATAAGGGATACTCAAGGCAGAGTATTTAAAGAGTAGTCTTAGCCAGGCATGGTGACACACACTTGGAGTCCTAGCTCCCAGAAGACTGAAGCAGGAGAATCTCAAGTAAGGCCAGCCAGGGCTACATAGGATGACCCTGTCTCAAGACCAAAAACACAGGCTTTTCAGTGAACAGTTTGGGGTTCAAATTCTAACTTCAGCACATCACTTTGGTCTTTCCGTGCCTCAGTGTCACTATCGGTCTAGTGCCTTCCTTCCCTAGTTATTTTCAGAATTAACACGCTGAACTCCTGTGTGTTTGTCATATAGTAAGCACTGGATTGGTGGCAATCTTGATGATACATAGCAGGGTTTGGACTCAGGTCAAATATCTTTTAAGTATTCAAGTTTGGTTTCTTGCCACAAAGTCAAAGCCAGAGGATATCAACTGAAAGGGAAGTTTTCTGAGCCAGACACTGAGTATCCATTTTCTTTTAAAGAACTTACTTCTATCAAAGATTGACAAGTCCATAATTTAAGAGTCAAACACGACAGGGCCAGGGTTTTAGCTCAGTGCCACCGTGCCTGCCTTGCAAGCATAAGGTCCTGAGTTCCATCCCTGGTACCACACACAAAAAAAGTCAAACATTACAGAAAGCCAGATATAAAAACCAGATGTCAAGCTGAGCACAGTGATATGCAGTTATAGTTCTAGGTGTTGAGAATCTCAGGAGTTCAAGGCCAGCCTAAGTAATATAGCAGAAACCTAGGGAAGGGAGAGAGGGTTGGAGGGAGGGAGGGAGGGAAAATGAAGGAATTTGGTTGGTTTTCCTGAACTTCCCCAGAAGCAATCATACTACTTACCCTGCCCAAATTATTTGATTTTTACCCCATATCTTAAACATTCTTGTATTGCTACTTCTTGATCTTTTTTTTCCAGTCTTAAAAATTATCAATGGACTTCCCACTATGGAAGGGGAGGATTTAGCTCCCATTCCCTGCATCACCCCACAAAGGACCCTGGGCCATTTTTATCTCTCCAAAGAGTGACAATTGGCAGGGCATTTAACTCAGTGGTTCTGGCATCTGCCTCTCAAGCTCAAGGTCTAGAGTTTGATCCCCAGTACCAAAAACAAAAGAAAACAAAAAGCGAACAGAGAGTGACAATCATTCTTTAAATGATTATTCAGTGCTAACATGATTATAACACTATAATGTCTCAACCATTTAGTACATTGCTTTTATTTCTTTCTTTCCTGCAAAACAGTAGTATTGTTTTTCCTGGATGTATTTTCACTTTCTTGTCTGTTTCTTTTTCTTAGTTTGCTACATACTTATCAATTCACTACTCCAAATTCTTTGCCAGTTCTCTAAGTCTCTCAAACCCAAATGCATCAGGCTTTCTGTTCATTCTGTATGTCTCAAGAGCTCTCCCCAAGAGAGAACAGTTCCCTGTACCTAATGCACACTTGTCATCCATGACCTCCTTTTCCCTTCCTCTCTAGGTTCTGTTCACTCCTGTTTCTTAGGTCTCATGCTTTCCTGTTAGTATATCCCCTTGTTCAGGTGGGGCACAGACCTCAGTGGCTTCCACATTTCGCTTTTCACACCTTACATTGTAGGCCTCTTAGTCTGGGACACTGGTACATTCTTTAGCAGAGTATCTCCACTTGGACTTATCTTGAGTGGTTTTTATTTTGCCCATTCCTGAAAGGTTTTTTTTTTTGTACTGGAAATTGAATTTAGGACCTTGTGCTTGTGAGGCAGGCGTGCTGCCACTGAGCTAAATCCCTGGCCCTGAAATATTTTTACCAGATATGCAACTTTAGATTGCAGTTATTTTTTCTCAGCACAGATGGTCTCCCCACTTAAGATGGTATATAACTTTTCAACTTTACAATGGTGCAAAAGCAGTATACTTTTAGTAGAAACCATGCTTCAGAATTTGCATTTGGATCATTTCCTGGGCTAGTGATATGCAATGTGATCCTCTCACAATGGTGTGCAGTGGTTGTGGCCGTAGCACCCAAGTCAGCCCTGATCATGAGGAAAGGCAACTGATGCTCCGGAAGGGCGCTGTGTACCAGATAGCTAAGCTAGGATGTTTATTTGGTAGGTTAGGTGTACTCAGTGCATTTTTGACTTACAATATTTTCACCTTAAAAAGAGTTTATCAAGCTGTAACTCTGTGGTAAGTCATCTGCATTTTGAAGATATTGTTCTTCCAAATTCCATTTTTGCCATTGAGAAGTAAGGAATATAGCTTTTGAAGGTACCCTCCTTTTCTCTTTGGCTATTTTAAGAGTCTCTGTTTGGTATTGTGTGTCATGTATCTAGATGTGGATTTCTTTTTATATTTCCAGGCCAGTGGTTTTTTGGGCTTCATATATTTGCAAATTAGTGTCTTTGGTCAGCTCTGGAAAATGTTCATCTTATTATTTATTCAGCTGTTGCTCCTTCCCCGTTTTCTCTATCTGCAGCTCTGATTAAATATTTGTTAGACTTTCTCACACTATCCTCCACGTATATTATTTCTCTTTAATTTTATCATTTCTGTGTTTCTCTGCTGAATCCTGGGTAGTTTCTTCATATCTCTTTTCAGTATACTAATTCTTTCAATAATGTCTGATTTTCAGGCTGGGAGTGCAGTTCAGTGGTAGAGTACTTGCCTAGCATGCGTGAGGTCCTGGATCCCATCCCCAGCACCAAACACTGCAGGAAAAGAAAAGAGTATCTAATTTTCTACAACCTGTGTGATGAGTATTTAATATGTTTTTTAATTTTTAATTTTTCCAAATATGCTATAGAGTGACCAGCTTGATCATTTTATAAACTCTAGGTCTTTAACCTCTTTCATTTCTTTAAATATATCAAACAGAAATACTTTATATTCTATCCCTGGTACTTCTAATAACAGAGGTCCTCATGGTCCCAACTCTGCCTTCTTATATTTACGCTGTCATTTACAGCCTTCTTTCTCCAAATATTTTATGATTTTTGAACATGGGCTCATTTTTCACAGATTTTACCTGTTGTACTGCCTGCCTAGATGGCAGGTCATTTCCTCAAGAAAAGGATTTCTTTTGTTTCATCCTAGCACCAGGAATGTAGCAAATCTGAGATGACTTTAGACTACGTTTTCTGATCTTTCAGGCCAACCACAGAGTGGAAATTTGGATTATAAACCTGCCTGAATTATGAGCCTGATTTATAGCTTTTATTTATCCAGGGAGCTATCTTCTACATTTAAGTTGGCACCTGTGTTCAAGGTGAAATCAATTATGTTTAGGCCCCATAATGTTAGTAGGGTTTTTTTTTCCTAATTTTTCCTTACCTTGGGGTCCTATTTTGCTTGGGAAAGGTCTCTTAGACTCTTCACCTTGGCAAGGGGCACAGACAATTAAATGTAAGCATAAGTTTTCCTGGTTTGGCAGCTTCCTTCAAGGCAAAAGCCAAGTTTGGTATTTTCTTACTTTTCTGGGTTACTTCTTGGCCCTAAAATGTTTCTTACTTTCTTGTTGTATCATTGGGCCATTCATCTGGCTTACTGGTCAAGGCATCTCATCTAATACAGAGCTGGAGTTGGACTTCAGTTCAGTTCCTTCATCCTCCTGTCCAGTTTCCAGCAGAGAAGAACATCCAGCTACAGTGGTAACCATTAGTCTCAGTTTTGTTAACTTAGAAATGGTAATAATTTATGTACCTTATGAGAATGTTTTACTTTAGAAATAAAAAATTTACATCATACACAGGAAAAGGCTTTCCCAGAAAACATACAAATAAGCAAACAAAATCAAACACCTAACTGACCGATGTGAGATGTTTTTATCACTGTCCCCAGGAAAGAACCAGTAGAAGGAGAGAAGATCTGTCCCCAAGTGGGGAGTTTGGGTGTAGTTTTTCTTTCTTGCCCTCCTGTGTACCTGTAGCCTGAGCTGCTGGACCTGTACACTGTTAATCTGCACCGCATTGAGAAGGATGTGCAGAGATGTGACCGCAACTACTGGTACTTCACACCTGCCAACTTGGAGAAACTGCGCAATATCATGTGCAGGTGACTGGGGCTGGGGAAACCTGGGGAAGAGGATGGCTGGGGTGGGCAAGGTGGAAAGAACTTCAGGGAGTCCAAGTGGAACTTATTCTAGCACCCACTGCCAATTAAATGACAGCAATATGGGACAATTATTAAGCACTTACTATATACCAGGCACTGTCTTGAGCCCTGTATTGTCATCAGGTCACTTAGTCTTCCATTCTGAGGATATGGAGACTCAGGAACCACACTCCTCAGGTACCCCAGCTGGGCAGGAACTTACAGCCATGTCTCTCTGGTTCTTTTTCTTTAGGCCAGGATCTAAGGCTACTTAATACTGTTCACTAAAAACTGTTTTAGTGTTTCTTAAAATATGAAAGTAACCACAAGTATTAAAAATTTAAATCAAACTAGGTGTGGTGGTGCATCCCTATAATCCTAGCACTCTGCGGGACTGAAGCAGGAATATTGCAAGTCAGTCCATCTTGGGCAACTTAGTAATTTAAGGAGATTCTGTCTCAAATGAAAAATAAAGGGCTGGTGTTTTAAGTTCAGTGTGAAGCCTCTGGGTTCAATCCCCAGCACCCCCACCCCCAATCTAAATCCAGGAAATCAGAAGTTCATAAAATAGAAAGAGAAACTTCTTTCATCTCCATCCATTAGTGCTGCTCATCCAGAAGTAATGACTGCTAACAATTTAGTGAATATTTTCCACAGCCGTACAGTAAGTCCCTGACTTATAAACAAGTTCTGCTCTGGGAGAATTGTTCATAAGTTGGATTTGTTTGTAAGCCGACAAAGTGAGTCTTACATAGTACTCCTGCGAAAGTTCACAACTCAAATGTTCATAAGTCGGAAACTTACTGTATAATTTTCTGTGTGAATACTTACTCTTAATGTGACATTGATTGTACATTGTATAGTACAACATAAATGCATTGTGGATTATATAAGAATAATTTTTAATGTTTTAAACCATAATATAATATAATAAATGTTACACTTAAAATGAAAAAGTGAGGGGAAGGAAGAATGGACTGACTTTTGCCTGCTTTTGAACATAAGAGAAATCACAAAAGGTCTCACAGAGGTGATGACTTTCCAGATAGACTTTGACAAATTTAAGAAAAACGACCATTTAACATTAGAGTTTAAGATCATATGCTCTCCAGGAAGGCCTTCAGGGTTCTAATACTGCCTCTGCACCTACTAAGTATATGACTTCAGTCATGTAATTTACCTCAGTGTGCCTCACTCTCCTCATTTGTGATCATAGTGATATCTGTTTCATATGATTATTTTGAAAATTAAAATATACATTTATAGTGGGGTGCTTGTACAGTAAGTGCTCATTAAATACAAGGTATTGTTAGTAAGAGGTTGACCAAATTCCAGAATAGGAAGTGCTGGAAGCATATGCACAGAAGCATAAATATGTGGTTTCTTTGTACAAAGTGAATACCCCCATGTGGTTGGAGACAAAGAAGCAGTAGGAAGTGATGTGTGAGGCTGTGAAGATGAGTGTGAGGAGACTGCTTTGCCTTGTGCCCAGTAAAGGAGTCTCCACCTGATGGCAGGAAGCTGGTGCAGGTTTTTGAGTCATGCTGGTGGCTACATCTAGTATGTGTACATCGGGTTGAGGGAGTGGACCAGGTGAGGGTTGGGGCCCTAAACGGGGAAGGAGGAATGGGTTGGAAGGCAGGTTAGTGGTGCCATCCATCTCTGAGCCCCCTTGTATCTCGCACAGCTACATCTGGCAGCACATTGAGATTGGCTATGTGCAGGGCATGTGTGACCTTCTGGCTCCCCTGCTGGTCATTCTGGATGATGGTGAGTATTTCTTCCCTCCCCGGGGGTGAGGGTACACTGTCCTTCCAACTACATGGAAAAAAGTCATTCTTGCTTTGTGGCTGCCTGAAATGAGTCAGAAGAGGCACTCAGAAGACCTGTCTCCCCCAGAGAACTAGAGAGCCCTTATATACCATAGTACCCAACACTCAGACATAGCCAGGCCTTGCTAGCCACTGATTATACAAACGTAAATGAGAACAAAGAAAAACCCAAGTGCAGGTGGCTTTGCTTAGGAGTTCTATCAAACATTTAGGAAGATTCAGTATGAATTCTTCACAAACTCTTCCAATCCCTAGCACCACAAAATAAATAAATATATAAATAAGAAAGAAAATGAGAGACTGCTTCCCGACTCATTCTTTGAGGCCAGCCTTCACGTAAGGTCAGTTTCTTATTGTTACCCTGGTACCTGTATCAGACAGGGGGTACAGACATCTCAGTATGCATCATGAATATAAATGTAAAAATCCTCAACAAGGTACCAACAAACTAAATTCAGCAGGCTATCAAAAGGGTTACACACACTGACCAACTGGGGTTTGTAGGGAAATAGATGCACCTTGAGACCATAATGTTAATTGAAATAAATCAGACACATAAGCTTAATTAAATATTGTATGGTTTCTGTTATATGAGAAACCCAAAATATGTATAAAGAGCAAAATAAAAAATAGCATGGAGATCTTTCTCAGAGGGGAAGGGACTCAAAAGATGGAGGGGAGGAGGAGAGGAGGGGTAGGGCGTGAATACTGGGATTAAGATGCACTATGTACACGTACCAATGCCCCACAAAGGTTGTAAGCATTATGTACTGCAAACATGTACTAATAAAAAAATCAAAGTAATATAATAACTGGAAAAAATATAATCATCTCAGTTGACATAGAAAAGCATAACAAAATCTAATGCCTTTCATGATTCACTTGACAAACTAGGAGTAGAAGGAACTTAACATGATAAATGAAATTTATGAAAAACCCATAAATAATATCATACTCAATGGTGAAATGTTGAACACTTTCCCTTAAGATCAGGAACAAGGGAAATGTATATCTATTTTTGCCTCTGTAAGTTCAAGGAGGGGCAATTGAAGAAAAGAAAATAATTGGAAAGGAAATAAAACTATCTCTATTCACAGGTGACATGACTTTGCATATAGAAAACCTAAGAATAAAAAAATAGAATAATTGCGTTAATCAAGGTTACAGAACATAAGATCAGTACACAAAAGTCTGTTGTATTTCCATGCACTGGAACAATCCTAAAATGGAAATTAGGAAAAGTTCCATTTGCAGTAGTATCTCAAAGAATAAAATACAAATAAATAAATAGTGCAAGATTTGTGCATTGAAAACTATAAAACATTGTAGAAAAATTTAAAGAAAACCTAAGTAAATGGAAAGAAATCTCATGTTCATGGATTTTAAGACTTGATATTATTTAGGTATTCTCCAAATTGATTGATAGATTCAGTGCAATACCTTTCAAAATTTTCATCTGCTTTGTTTGCAAAAATTGATAAGCTGTTCTTAAAAAGTGATGTGGAAATTCAAGGATTTGAGCATAGCCAAAGCAATTTGAAACAGAAGAAAATGTTCCCAATTTCAAAACCTAATACAGAATCAAAACTGTACAGTAGGGGCCAGGGATCTAGCTCAGTGGTTCTGGCACCAGCCTCATAAGCAAAAGGACCTGAGTTCGATCACTGGTACCAAAAAGAAAAAAAACTGTACAGTAATCAGAACAGCCACAGTAATGAAAAACTTTATATATTTACACAAGGATTGATGTATAGATCAATGGAGTGGAATTACAGGTCCAGAAATAAGCCTCTGTGTTAATGGTCAAGTGATTTTGACAAGGCTGCCATAAACTCAGTGAGGGAAAAAATAGTCTGTTCAACATAACGTTGCTGGGACAGCTGGATATCCATGTGCAAAAGATTGAAGTTAGACCTCTCTCATAACACATACAAGGAGCTAACTTGAAATGGGTAATAGACTTAATACAAGAAAAATTGTTTAACTCTTTAGAAAACATAGGAGTAAATCTTTGTGACCTTGGTTTAAGCAATGGTTTCTTAGATATAGCATGGGAAGTGTAACTAATGAAAGAAAAAATAGGAAAATTGGACTTCATCAAAATTAAAACTTTTGTGCTTCAAAGGACTCTATCATGAAAGTGAAAAGACCCACAATAATGGAAGAAAATATTTACAAGTCTTACATATGTTAAGGGACTTTTACCCAAATATATAAAGAACTCATAACTCAATAAAAAGATAAACTAAATTTAAAATGAGTATAAGATTTAAGTAGACATTTCTCAATGGAATCAAAGAGACAAGAATGGCCAATGATTTAATTAAAAGTTGCCCAGCATCGTTAGCCAATAGGAAGATGCAAATCAAAACCAAAATGAGACATGCTTCACATGCACTAAGATGGCTAGAATCAAACCAGTGGAAAATAGCAAATGTTGGTAAGAATATGGAGAAAGTGGTGGCTTCCTACATTGCTGGTGGAATTATAAAATGATTTGGCCACTTTGGAAAACAATTTGGCCAATAGTTACTCTTAATGTTAAATATAGAGTTACCATGTAACCCAGCAATTCCATCCATAAGTATTTACCTAAGAGAATTGAAAATATACACCGCATTATTCCTAACAGTCCAAAAGTGAAAACAATCCAGTGTCTATCAACCAAAGAATGCATAAGCAAAGTGTGCTATATCTCCACAATGGAATATTATTTAGCAGAAAAAAAGAATGATGTTCTAATTCGTGCTGCAATGTGGATGAACCTTGAAACATTATGCTAAATGAAGACTCAAAAGACCACATATTGTATGATTTTATTTATATGGAAATTCATGAATAAGCAAATCCAAGGAGACAGAAAGTAACTAGAGGCTGACAGACTACTGGTCTGTCTCCACCAGGAAGAGGAAAATGGGGAGGGCCTACTACATAGGTTTCCTTTGGGGGTGAAGATATTCTAGAAGGAGATGGTGGTGCTGGTCACGAAACATTATGAGTGTATTGAAACCACTAGCTTCTACATTTGAAAGGGTGAATGCTGTGGGATGCAGATCTAAAAGACTGTTAAAAAAATGAGGAGCATAACTCCCTACACTTTCGAGATGGGCTTCAGATAGTGACCAAAAAAGACAGTGTGGAAGCAGGGAGGTGGGAGTGGTGAGAGAAACTTACCAGTAGAGAAACACTGTGACAAACACTACCTCAGCCAGATAAGCCAAATGGCTCTAAAAATAGTCCTTAAAAAAAAAATGAGGCACATGCTTATATTCCCAGCACTGTGGGAGGCTGAGGCAGGAGGATTACAAGATTAAGCTCAGCCTGGGGAACTATGCAAGACTCTCTCAAAAAACAAAAAAATTATTTATTTATTGAGGGGGTTGTTTGTTTTTTGTACCAGGGATCAAACTCATGACCTTGTGCTTGTGAGGCAGGCGCAGTGGCACTGAGCTAAATCCCCAGCTATTTTTTGGTTTTTTGAGACAGGGTCTCACTATGTAGTTCAGGCTGGCCTTGAATTCACTATGTACCCCAGGCTGGCCTCAAACTTGTAGTGATCTTCCTGCCTCAGCCTCCTGAGTGCTGAGATTTCAGGCATGTGTCACCACACCCGGCTTCAAAATAAAATATTTTTTATTTGTATTTATTTTTTATTTTTTATTTTTGTTTGGTACTAGGGATCGAACTTGGGTCTTTGCACTTGTGCAGCAGGTGGCGAACCCACTGAGCTAAATCCCCAGCCTTAAAATATATTTTTTAAATGGCATAGGGTTGGGGCAGGCTGAGTATAGCCCTTGGGATAACTTCCAGTCTAGTGCAGCTCCCCTGAAGCTATTAATTGTTAAGAGAAAAATAAAAACAAAAGAACCTACCATTTTAAAGTAAGTTTTTGAAACAGGTTCTTTTATTGCAGGTCTTCTCAGCACCTCTACTTTTTAATATTTGTAAGCATGGATATTCTAAGCAGCAGATGCACTACATAGTGTCTTTCAAAGTAATTTTACCCTTTCTTTACATGTTGCAAAAGCCCTTCCCATATTGTCAATTACTGTTTGAATATGGTGGCTCCTGGACTTGAGAATTTCATGAACCAGTAAACTTTGAAAATAAAAAAAAGAAAAAGAGTTTGGAACCAACAAAACACTGTCAACTTTTTACTGTATAGCAAATTGGGGTCTTCTTTTAAAAAGAGCATCTGAGCCAGGCTTGGTGGCTCGGCCCTCAGGAGGCTGAGGTAGGAGGATTGCCATGAATTTGAGGCCAGCCTAGGCTACATAGTTCAAGGCCAGCCTGAACTACATAGCAAGACCCTGTCTCAAAAAACCAAATAAGGGCTGGGGATTTAGCTCAGTGGTTCCAGCGCCTGCCTCACAAGCACAAGGTTCCGAGTTTGAACTCCAGTAAAAAAAAACACAACAGATAAATAAATAAATAAATTAATTAATTAATTAATAAAGCAAACAAGCATCTGCTGTCACCATGTTTTCCTAAAAGAGGATATTCCAACCTCCCTAAAGTAAGAAGTAAGTGATTCAGATTAGAGAGCATCTGAACATAATCTACTTGGCTACATGTTTCTCCTTTGGCTGTGGATTTTTGCACCAGCTCTGGGCCTTAGTAGACCCATGCCCTTGGGAACTCAGGTCCTGCTGGCAGTGACAGCTGATTGTCCTGTTCTGTTCCCCCAGAGGCCCTGGCCTTCAGTTGCTTCACAGAGCTCATGAAGAGGATGAACCAGAACTTCCCCCATGGGGGCGCCATGGACACACACTTTGCCAACATGAGGTCCCTGATCCAGGTACGACTTGATGTCTAGTCTTCCAACTCTTTTGAGAAATAAGTGATTGGCTAAATTGAGTGGCTTAAGATTGAGTGTTGTGAAGCCACCCTGAGTTTGAATACTGTTTCTGCTACATGCTAGCTGGATAACCTCAGGCATATGCTTTTATTTCTCTGGATCTCAGTTTCCTCATCTGGAAAATAGATTACTTTCCCATTTATATGATTCTCAGTAAATTACTATGGTTATGTGCTAAAACTAATGTGTTTATATTGTTGAACACAGTGCCTGCCAGTGGCTCTCAGAGTCTAATCCATGAGTCAGCAACAGTAGCCCCACTCGCTAATTTATTAGAAATGCAGTTTAAGCCAGGCAAGGTAGCATTCCTGTAATCCCACCACTCGGGGAAACTGAGGCAGGAAGATCACAAGTTAGAGCCCAGCCTGGGCAACTTAGTTACTTATCAAAACCTTGTCTCAAAATTTTAAAAATGGGGCTGGGGTGTAGCTCAGTGGGGGAGCACCCCTGGGTTTCATCCCCAATACAGTTAGTCCATCAAGTGGGGATATAGCTCAGTTTGGAAGCCCTAGGTTCAATTTCCAATACCACCAAAAAAAGAGAAGAAGAAAATGCACATTGCTATTGTCTTTCCTCCTGAATCAGAATCTCAAGGCATTTGGCCAAGCAGCCTGTTTCTCCTTTGGCTGAAGCTCTCCAGGTGACTCTGATGCAAGCTTGAGTTTGAGAAGTGCTGTGATAAACACTAGCTCTTTCAGCACCCATCATGATTAGTATATCTACTACCCAGGAAAATTGAGACTTTCTTCCCTTTGAATAGAAGGAATGAAAATGTATTAACGCAAATAAATGATAAGAGATACATTATACTATCAGTGGAGATACAGCAGTAATCAAATTATCTCTGATTTCTTTTGTAGAGTTAAAAAAAACTACAAAGTATTTTGGATGTCGTGTTTTCACCTCACTTACCCAAGAAATAAAGCATTAAGCATAGTTTTTCAACTCTCATATATCTATTGTTAATTCCATGTCCCCACATCTGTCTTCCCAATGGGAATTTTCATGCCAGAAGGTGGGATGTGGAGGCCCACTAACAAGGGCGGTAAAAGAATTTACCAACAGCCTGGCATAGTGGTGCACACCTGTAATCCCTGTACTCGGGAGCCTGAGGCAGGAGGATCATCATGAGTTCAAGGCCAGCATGAACTACTTAGCAAGACCATGTCTCAAAAAAACACAAATTACCAATAGTCAAGGAATATAAGAAAGATAAAAGTTTATTCAGGTCAGAATACAGTGTCCAGAGGGACAGTGGGTGAGTTTCCAAGAGAGAAATCACAGAGGGTGATAGATTAGGGTTTTATAAGGAATTGAAGATGTGGGAATTGATCTGAGTTTGCAAAAATTAGTATCTCAGAAATCCATTTTCCAGGACATCCTGTTCTTGTTAATCTTTCAGGAACATCTGCATTATGTCTAAAGTTGTGCATCAACTTGCAAATTGACAAAGTTGTTTAGCCTCACAGGGAGAAAGGTTTATTTTTATCTCATGCTGTTTTTGGTCAGTGTTAGTGCATTATCTTATGACTTAGCGCAGGATTACTTTAAAAGGAGATTTTTACTGCTGCAGGGTTTTAACTCTTTTGTTGCCTTTGGATAGCCACCATAGGAACCACTTTCTAGAATGTGATGTTTATCATTGTCCTGTACTCAGAAAACCCTTCTGCTACATATGCACACGTTCCTAAACAACTTACAATTTTGTTTCCCAAGCTCCCCCACTTTACAGAAGTACTTTTTAATGCTGTGAGTCCTGCAGCTTTTCTTCATGTTCATTTTTTCCTTTTCTCGTATTTTTTCCTTTCCCTTCTTTCCTTTCCCCTATTCCTCCCACTTCCTCTTCCCCTTTAGACCTTTTCTTCCTGTTTCACATTATCAATTATACTTTTTTATTCTTATTTACACTTTCAGTTTCTCACACTAGAGAAACTATTCGGTATTTACACATGTGTGTCCTATTTCTTTCACTTAAGAGCATGGGTTCAGTGTGCATCCACTTAGCTATAAATGTCTCTAGTTTCTCATTCTTTATGGCTGAGTACTCCATTTTATTAAAAAACCACATCTTCTTTATCCAGTCTCCCGTTGATGGGCAATTGGGCTCTTTCCAAATTTTAACCATTACAAACTGTAATGGCCACTATAAACTTGGGTGCCCTTATATCACTGTGATATGATTCTTTTAATTCTTTGGGGAAGATACCCAGCAGGGGAATAGCTGGGTCAAATGGGACCTCTAATCCTACTTTTTTGAGGTATCTCCATGCTGATTTCCACAGTGGTTGCACCAGTCTGCACTCCCACCAACAATGAAGAAGTGTTCTTTTCTCCCCACGACCCTGCCAGCATTTGTTATTGGTTGATTTCTTGATAGCAGCAATTCTTTCTGGGGTGAGGTGGAATCTCAGTGTTCTTTTCATCTGTATCTCTCGAATGACCAGTGATGTTGAACATTTTTTCATATATTTGTTTGCTGCTTTTACTTCTTTGTCTGAGATATGTGTGTTCATTTCAGATGCCCATTTTTGAATTGGCTCTTTAAATTTGGGGCGTCTGATATTTTTAAGTTCTTTATATATTCTAGATAGTAGTCCTTTGTCTGAGGAACAGCTGGTAAAAAATTTTTCCCACATTGTAGGTTGTCTCTTAGCTCTGTTGGTGGTTTCTCTTGTAGTGCAGAAACATTTTTTTGCTACCAGGGATCAAACTCGGGACCTTCCGCTTGTGAGGCAGGCAGCGGAACCACTGAGCTAAATCCCCGGCCTGCAGAAGCTTTTTTTTTTTTTTAATTTTATTGGTACATTTTAGGTATACAATATAATGACAGTCATCATTGGAAATTTGCACTTTTTCATAATCTCTCTTGGTTCTTGTTTTTTCCCTTCCCCTGTCCTCCCTTCAACCCCTCCATCCCTCCCTATTTACAAAGGCTTTGTTTCCATTTTTTCATTTTCACATATTAATTCCATTCCCTTCTTTCCTTTCCTCTACCCCTTCCACTTCCCCTTCCCCTTTGCCCCTTTTCTTCCTATTTCACAGTATCTATTATACCTTTTAATCCTTATTTACACTTTCAGTTTCTCACACTAGAGAAACTATTTGGTATTTACACATGTGTGTCCTATTTATTTCACTTAAGAGCATCACCTCAGTGTGCATCCATTTAGCTATAAATGTCTTTAATTTCTCATTTTTTATGGCTGAGTAGTAGTCCATTTTATTAAAAAACCACATTTTCTTTATCCAGTCTCCAGTTGATGAGCAATTGGGCTGCTTCCAGGTTTTAGCTATTACCAATTACCACAGAAGCTTTTATTAAAAAAGGATGAGATCCCAGTTGTTGATTCTTTATGCTAGTTCCCATGCTATTGAGATTTTGTTTTTAAAGTCTTTTCCTATACCAATGTCTTCAAGAGTTCTACTTTATCTTCCAGCAAGTTTAGTGTTTCTGTTTTAATATTTAGATCTTTTATCCACTTCAATTTTAGTTTAGTGCATGGTGAAAGATATGGGTCTAGTTTTAATCTGTGGCAGGTTGAAATCCAGTTTTTCCAGCACCACTTATTAAAGATGCTATCTTTACTCCAGTGAGTGTGGTTGGCTCCTTTGTCAAAAATGAGGTGGCTGAGTATGTCTGGAGTTGTGTCTGCATCTTCTAATCTATTCTACTGATCCTCAGGTCTGTTTCTTTGCCAGTACCATGCTATTGCATTTCTTGATAGTTAAAATTAATATCTTTTTATTTTCTTTTGATGTACTTGAATTGCTTTCTGTGAATTGCCTGTTCATACATTTTGCCCATTTTATATGCATGTTTTTCCATAATTAGAATTATATTGTACATACTTTTCTTTTTGTGCTGCTGTTTCAAACCTGTGCCCTACCCCAACCCCTTTGTGGTACTAGGAATTGGACTCAGGGCCTTTGTACTGAACTTCATTCCTAGCCTTTTTTTTTTTTTTTTTTTTTTTTGGTGCCAGGGATTGAATTTGGACCTTGCACTTGGGAGGCAGGTGGTGGAACCACTGAGCTAAATCCCCAGCCCTGTATTTTTTATTTTGAGACAGTGTCTCTCTAAGTTGCCGAGGCTGGGCTTGAATTTGTGATCCTCCTGCCTCAGCTTCCCAGAGTGCTGGGATGACAGGTCTGTACCACCACATCCAGCACCCACCCCACTCCCCTTTTTTGAACAGCATACCTGATAGCTGCAGATATTCTTCTACTACCTGTCTTTTTAATAACAATTTTGTTGAGATACAATTCAGATAACCAAAAAATGCACCCTTTTAGTGTACAATTTAGTGGCTTTATTATATTCACAGTTATAGAACTATCACTGATTTCAGAACATTTTCGTTACCCCAAAAAGAAACTATGGACCCAATAATAGTCACTCCTCATCCCCTCTCTCTCCTCAGACCCTATTTTTTTATTCCTGTAGATTTACCTTTTCTAAACATTTCTTATAAATGGAATAATACATTATGTAGCCGTTTGTGACTGACTTCCTTCACTTCATGTTTTCGAGGATCATCCACTTTGTAACATGTACCAAAACTTAATTTTTATTGGGGAATGATATTCTGTTGTGGATATACCACTTTTTGTTTATTCGTTCATCCACTAATAGACATTTGAACTGTTTCCATGTGGCTATTTTGAATAGTGCTACTTTCCATATTTTTGTACAAATTTTTTCATGAACATAATTTTCATTTCTCTTGGGAATACACCCAGGCATGGAATTGCTGAATCATATGATGGCTTTGTATTTAGTGTTTTGGGAAACTGCCAAACTGTTTCCACACCAGCCACACCATTTTGCTTTTCAGTAGCAGCATATGAGGGCTCAGGTTTCTCCACATCCTCAACAGTTGTCATGTCTGTCATTTTGATTTTAACCACGTTAGTGGATGTGAAGTTGTATCCAATTGTGTTTTGATTTGTACTTCTCTAGTGATTAATGATGTGTAACATCTTTCATGTGCTCATTAGCCATTTGTGATCTTCTCTGGAGAAATGTCTGTTTGTACTCTTGGCCCAATTTGAACCCCTCCTGGTTGTTGAGGGCTGTCTGTGCAGTGTGGCACCCACCGTCATTGTTTCAGCTGTGCCCTCTGGTCCAGCCCTTTCCGAGGATGCTGATGCCACCCTTTGCCTCTGGCAGATCCTAGACTCGGAGCTCTTTGAGCTGATGCATCAGAATGGGGACTACACCCACTTCTACTTCTGCTACCGCTGGTTCCTGCTGGACTTCAAGCGAGGTACAGACCAGAAACTGGGGCCTTCTCCCCAGACACTTTGTGACAGAATCTCAGGAGAGGAGATAGGGTGGAGATGAGACTGAGTGGGCGCTGGAGCAAAGGTATCAAGTTCTGTTGGTCACCTGCCTTGTCTTGGAGTGACACTGTGTGGAGGGGTTGTTAGGATCCCCACTTTAGCTGACCATGCTGGCGCAGGCTTGTAATCTCAGCACTGAGGAGACTGAGGCAGGAGGATCCTGAGTTTGAAGCCAGCTTGAGCTACATAGTGAGTTCATGGCCAGCCTGGACTACATAAGGAGACCCTGCCTCAAAAAAAATTGTTTTAAATTAAAATTTAATAAAGATCCTGTCTTTACAGATGAAAAAACTAAGTTGAGAAGAAGCCAGTTCAGAGATAAAAATAGTGGAGTGAGGATCAGAGCTCACCTCTGTGTACTCCAAAGCCAAGCTCCCTTCCATTCTCTTAGGCTGCTTAGCAAAGACCAAGTCTAAAGCCCATAGAGTTAAGAGTTATTTCATACATATTTTTAGCATAACCTAGAAGTAGTGTCATCTCTGAGTACATTGCTATGGTGCACTCTTGGAGCGATGCTAACAGTCATGATAACTAACACGAACAGATGTTATTAAGTGCCATGTACTGTGCTGGGCCACTTACATGTTTCATGTCTAGTCCTTTACTATTACCAGTGTCACCCTACATATAGATTAAAGAAGAAAGAGTCTCCTGGAGAAGTAATGAACCCAAGCTCCCCAGCTAGCTGTGACAAAGCCAGTAAAACCAGGTTATTGGACATGGGAAGCCTCAGTCTTATCCACTGTGCTCTTCTATCTCTTTACTGGACTCAGAGGCAGCAGCCAGCTCTGTCTGTGGCTGGGTAGGGGGAGGGAGACACCCTACTGGATGCCAGGATGCCAGAGCAGATGGAGGAACTAGTCAAGGTCCAGGGCAGGAACAGATCCATGTCCGTTTCTGACATGCACATGTCAGTTCCACCACTCATAGGATGACAGAGCCGGTGCAAGGAACTTAGGAACCACCAGGTTTACATAGCCCATTCTACAGCTGGGGAAGCAGAGGCTTTGAGGGTCAAGTTACAGTGTACAGGCCTCTTGCCTCCTGGCTTGGTTCTGTGCACTGCACTAGGGCACAGACACCAAGTCCTGCTGGCCTGGGATTTTCACAGGGGAGGGTAGCACCATGACTGTCACTGATCTCCCCATGTACCTGAATGTTGGTGTCTTGGCAGAACTCATCTATGATGATGTCTTCTCCGTGTGGGAGACCATCTGGGCAGCCAAACACGTGTCATCCGCCCACTATGTGCTGTTCATCGCCCTGGCCCTCGTGGAAGTCTACCGCGATATCATTCTGGAGAACAACATGGACTTCACTGACATCATCAAATTTTTTAATGGTACTTGAGGTCTAGGGTTTCATGGGGAAGGCGGGAGGGACAGAGATGTGCTGAGATGGGAGCATGGAGAAGGAGGCATAGGGTGCTTCTACCCACTTTCTGCAGCTATTTCCAGAGGGATGAGTTCATGTCCTGTAATAATGAGGTATTTTTCTCAAGAATCTGGCAGGGGGAGAATGAGTGTTGAAATCCAGCTAAAAGGCCAAGTCTGGCTGGCAGGTGACCATCTGTGCACATGGGCCAGGCACTTCCCCCTATCCTAAGCATCCTCATCCTCATCTGTGAAATGGAGCAGCATCTGCTCCGGATGATTGAGGTGCCTGGGAAAAGCAGGCATAGGGCAGCAGTCCAGGTGGCATGGAAAAGGCCCAGCCACTGAAATCAGACAGCTGTGGAATCTGACCTGTTTCCTGTCACTTGGGTGCTATGTGACCTTGTCCAAGTGATTTCATGTCTGTGGGTCCCAGATACTTCAGAGATAGAAAGGTGCAAACACCCCTTCTCTTGCAGGGAAGTTCATAGGGTTAAAGGACATGGCATGGACAAGTCTCATCACCTGGTAGTTGGCCCATATGATTGGCTCAGTAAATGAAATCTATTGCTACTATTGTCAGTATTTAAAAATAAAAAACTAAAGGCTCTAGAAATAAGAAAAAGAGAAAAAGGGCAGCTATGACTTCACCTTTGGAGCATTATTTCAGTTTTATTTAAGCGTACTTTTTATTTGGGGATGTTTCGGATTTACTCATCTACCAAAATTTTGGTTTTAGAATTTTTTTAGATTTACAAAATAATTGCAAAAATGGTTCCAAAGAGTTCCTGATACCCTTTGCCCAGTTTAAATTACTGTTAGCATTTTACATGATCCTAGCACGTCTGTCAAAACTAAAAAATTAATATTGGTGTGTTATTATTTACTAGATTACAGGCTTTATTTGGATTTCACCTGGTTTGTCACAAATGTTCTTCTGTTCCAGAAACGAGCTAGAAAAACCACATTCCATTTAATGAGCTCATTAAAAAATATCCAGCCAGAAGTAGTGGCACACGCCTGTAATCCCAGCTACTTGGGAGTCTGAGGCAGGAAGACTGCAAATTTGAGGCTAGCCTAAGCAGTTTAGCAAGACCCTTTCTCAAAAAAGGCTGGTAGTGTAGCATGTAACTCAGTGGTGGAGGGATCCTGGCCTCAGTCCCCGGTACAGGAAAGATAATCCACCCAGGCTTTTCCACAATCACGTGTATTTTTATGTTTTTACCATCACAGAATCCAATTGTATATTTTCTCCACTTAATGTTAAAATGATTTCAAAAATCATTTCCCATAGTAATCACTTTTTAAGACTGCAGACTTCACCTCAAATGACTATCTTATAAATCACTGAATCAACCTTTATCATTGAGCATCTAGTTGGAGATAGGATTGAAACACCCAAAGTAATTCAAATCTTAGTGAGGGATTCCCTAGCTTTTTCTGTCCATGGCACCCCTGGCATCTCTATAAAATGTTCACAGGATCCTAGGCCCAAAATTCCATTTAGTAAGTGGGTAGGTCCAAACCACTTAATAAGTTTTTGTGTCCTAACAACTTAGTGGCTATTTGAAAAAAAGATATACATAAATTAAAAGAAAAAGCCAAATGTGGTGGTGCAGGCCTGTAATCCCAGCACTCTGGGGACTGGGGCAGGAGGATCACAAGCTTAAGCCCAGGCTAAGCAACTTAGTGAGATGTTGTCCCAAAATTTTAAAATAAATAAATGAAAGGGCTGGGGATGTAGCTCAGTGTGAAGGCCCTAGTTTAAATCACCTATGCTGCCCAAAAAAAATATTTTTAAAAGAAAAACATTTTCTTTTCATTTTTTAGAAGCACAGTGAATTTTTATGGAATCTATGCACTTGTTGAACTGTGTGCAGCTCCTCCAACTTTGCAGTCCTGCTGCACTTCCCCTTCATATCCTGTTCCACCATGAATTTTATGTGTTTCTTACTTTTCATCACAACAACTACTGAAAACCTAGCTTTTTTTTTTTGGTACTGGGGATCGAACTCGGGACCTTGCACTTGCAAGGCAGGCAGTGGAACCACTGAGCTAAATCCCCGGCCTTGAAAATCTAGCTTTGCAGGCATACAAAGCCGTGGTTAGGAATGTAGTACAAATTAGTTTATGTAGTGCTCAACAGATGTAGGGTATCACTGTGCTTCTCTCCAAATTCCTAAATTCCTAAAGTTCACTGTGAAACTCGGGGTGGGGGGGTACCTTGGCACCTAGTTTGGGAACCATGATCTTAGTACCTTTTTCCTTTATTAAATGGTTTGTTTGTTTATTTATTTATTTATTGGTACCAGAGATCGAACTCAGGACCTTGTGCTTGCGGGGCAGGTGGCAGAACCACTGAGCTAAATCCCCAGCCCTATATGTTTTATTTATAATAAATGTCAGACTATAGGAGCCAGGCATAAGGCCCATGTCTCCAGTGTCAGCACTTTGAGTGGCTGAAGTGGGAAGATTTCAGGTTCAAGTCCAGCCTGGGCAACTTAGCAAGTTAACAAGACCATCTCAAAATTTTAAAATTTAAAGAGGGTTTGGGATGTAGCTCAGTGTGAGAGCCCTGGGTCCAATCCCTAGTACTGGAAAAGTAAGTGGGTGGATGGATGGATGTCTAAGTTTAGAGTTATTCTATTGTATTTAAAGGTTTGAAAATGAAACTATTTTGTGTGACTCTTGGTAAAAATTAGTTTTGCTTTTCTCTCTCTCTCTCATTCTTGGGACAGAGTTTTGCTTTATAGTTCAAACTGGCCTGGAACTCACTATGTAGCCGAAGCTGGCCTCCAACATGTGGCAATCCCCCTGCCTCACCCTCCCAAGTGCTGGGATTACAGATGTGCACCACCATGCCCAGCTTGCTTTTCTCTCTTTTTTTTTTTTCCCCTTTCTTCTCTTCCTTCCTTCTGTCACTTCCTTCATTTCCATAAAATCTGTAAGCATCTGCCATGTGCCTGGCTTTGCTCTTCTGAAAGGTTCCCAGTCATTCTCATGAGAGAAGAGGGGAAGGACCTGACTTTTTAAAGCATACACTGAACCAGCATCATCTTATTTGATTTCCATTGTCACCTTGAGTGGTGGTTACTGTTATGATACCCATTTCACAGACAGGGAATCTGAGAACTAGAGGTACTTGCAGAGCCAGTCTGTGATGGGGATGTCCAGAGGGCAGACATAGATGGCACTCATGAGATTTACTCTGTGCTCTCACAGAAATGGCTGAGCGGCACAACACGAAGCAAGTCCTGAAGCTCGCCCGGGACCTGGTGTACAAAGTGCAGACGCTGATCGAGAACAAGTGAACATGCTGTGCCCTGACCACACCACCAGTCACCAGCCGCTGTCCTCCTGCCCTCATCCCTTACGCCAGCCCAGCCTGATGTGGAGTCCTGGCATCTGCCCATGAATGTGGACTTCTGTGTAGAGAGAGGGGATCCCAACCTTGGCCATTGGGCAGGTGGGGTCAAGGGGTGGACCCTTCAGTTCAGCCTTATGTTTTCCTGTTTGACCAAAGATCGCCCAAGTCTGGGATTCTCCCTCACAGACCGGAGGTGGTAAGTGGATGGAGGAAGTGTCTTCCTTCCCACTCTCCTCTTCTTTCTTCTGACCCTCATCTCTTCTGATGAGACTGGGGGAGGTCACTCTTTAGGAATTTGGTATCAGGTCCCTGGGACTCCCTTTGTCCCCTGAAAAGGACCTCTGGGGAAGTTCCAGAACCTGCCTGCAAGCCTGGCTTTGAGCAGGTCTGTCACCCTTCAGCATTGATAACCTTTGAAGCCAGCAAATGCTTTGAGATGAGGACTCTTCCTGTCCACTGGAAGATGGTGAGCACTGTCCCTGGCTTCTGCTCATCAGATGCCAGTAGCACCTCCCTCTCACCCAGGTTGTGACAACCTAAGATGTCTCCAGACTTTGCCAGCCCAGTTCTCTTTAGGAAGCTCCCCTCTGTCCTGTGGCCTTTCCAATTTAGAAAAGGCACACAGATTCCTTCACAAATCTCTGCTGAATCCCAGGGTCCCAGTGGCTGTATTTTCTCCTTTTTCCTCCTTTGTCTGATGCCAGGAGATATTTCTTTTCTTCTTTTCAAGAAAAGCACCATCCAGCCCAGTGTGGTGGCACACACCTGTAATCCCAGTACTTGGGAGGCTAAGGCAGGAGGATCTCCGAGAGTTTGAGGCCAGCCTGAGCTTCATAGTGAGTTCAAGTCCATCCTGTACTACATAGTGAGACCCTGTTTCAAAAACAAACAAAAAACAGCAACAAAAAGAAAAGCACCTTCCTGCATTTAAAGTGGAACCTGAGAATGTCTGTATGGCTAAGACAGTCTGAGACACTTTGAAGTCCTGTCTGGAGCTGAGGCAGGGCCTCACTTCCAAGGGAAGACCTCACTTCTGACCACATACCAGGGGGCTTCAGAGGTTTGGGGAGGTGTGTGTTGGTGGCTGCCCCTGGGCTTTTCTGTAAGCACCCTTGCTCACTCAGGAAGGAAGGAAAAAGAGGAAAAACTAGGTGGGGCCTTCAGTGGGCAAGTGTTTTCCCTGGAAAACATCTGCTGCTCTGAGCCTGCTCTCATGGCTGGGTCTAGGAATTGTCCCCTTCTTACCAAGGGCCACCAGTCCCCAGACAGACCCTGGGCGACCTAGTACACGTCCCCTCAGCTCACCAGAGAGGAGCCCGGCCACCTGTCCTGCTCAGAGAGTGGTCAGAGAATGACCACTAGGGTTTGAAGAGGGAGGAGACAGAGAAAGCGGATTGGAGCATTGCCAGAGGGCATCTTTCAGTCCTCGGCTGGGCAGAACCCCTGCCCTGCCAGCTGCTCCTTCCACTGCATCTGAACCCCACCCTCCACCCAAAGGGACAGAATGTGAGATCCCATGGCCCTTGCTCCCCAGGAGAGCTCTTAAGAGCCCGGAGGGAAATTTGAGGCTGCTGTAGCCCTCATGGACAGGAAGGGGAGGAGACAGCTTCTGCTGCCACTGGAGTCGCACCTCTGCCCCTGACCCCAAGACAGGAGAAAGATAGTCAGATAAACCTTTATTTGCCACTCAGCTGTGGACTACAGAGGATATTATTTTAGCACGACCAGGGCTCAGGCCTCCTGATTCTTATTTATTTTTGTAACAGACCAGACTCAGAGTATAGCACAAGATCTCTTTGCCTTCCCGTGTGGTGTTCTGAGAGCATGTGTGCTTGTGGTTTGCAGTGACGCGTATTTATTCCGTGTACTGTGCTTATGCAGACCTCTGTCCATTGTGTATGTCTTTGTGTTTTGGAATTGAATGTGTGGGAGTCATTCTCTCTATGGAGTGCTCTCTTTTTTCAGTGTTGTAAATGTTTACTGAAGAATTGTGTCTATATAGAGAAAAAATAATATATGAGCAGAGAAACATGAATCTGCCTTTTTATTTGAAAGAAAAATGTTTGCTTCTGAAGACTGTCTTCCAATCACTATCCCATCCCACACCCAGGTGGGGTCAGAATCTTATGCTGGCTGCCTGACTTCTCCAGACAAGTCAAGGTCAAGATAGATGACTCACTCCTTGCTTTAGTTAGCTGTTAGCACCAGCAATGCTGTGTAACAAACCACTTAAAGTATGGTTCAACGTAGCCATTTATTTAGTTTATGGTTGTGTGTGTCAACAATCTGGGCTGAGTAGTCAGGCATGGTGGCACATGCCTATAATCCCAGCCCTCGGGAGGCTGAGGCAGGAGGATCACTGTAAGTTCAAGGCCAGACTGGGTTACCTAGTGAGTTCAAGGCCAGACTGAACTACATAGGGAGACCATGTCGAAAAAGAAAAAAGGATGGGCTGGGAGTTTAGCTCAGTGGCACCGCACCTGCCTCACAAGGGCAAGGTCCTGAGTTTGATCCCTGGTACTGAAAAAAAAAAAAAAAGGAAAGAATCTGGGCTGGGGCTGGGAGGTTCTTCTGGTCCTGGCCAGCATTCTGTGGTCACCTGACAGCCCGAGAGGTAATTCTCTGATGTTTGGCTGGCTGTCACCTAGGGCATTGGGGGAAACTGGGTCATATTGTTGTGCCCAGATCGCGAGATCCCCAAAGACCACCAAGGAGCCGATTCCGATTCAAACACACGAGGGTCGTTTATTCAAGCTCAAGCAGGGACTCTCATCCAACACCGACGCAGCGGGTCAGGATTGAGAGCCCCGACTCTAAAACACCAGGGGTTTTTATAGAGGTTACAGCAAGGCAAGGGGTTTTCAAAAAGGCATGGGGTTTCAAATCACATGCAAATCACACGATTGGCTAGCATTTAGCAAGTTTTGAAAGTTTAAACCTGGTTGGCTATGCCTTGAGCGCTGAACTGCAAACGGTTGCTCAAGTCATTGAAAAGAACATCTGGGATACTGGGGTATTGGGGTAACTACTGATTAGCTGTTGCAAGCCATCGAGAAGAGCATCTGGGACATTGGGGCAGCTACTGATTAGCTGTTGCTAGGCTAGTTGCTAGGGGACTGCTGAACATTATCACAGGCAGGTGGCCAAAGTACATCTTGTGGTTTTTCTTGGAACTAGAGTTTATGTCCAGGCCACCTCACTCTAAGATGGGGCCAAATTTTAAAATGGAGTCACTCAGGCCTCACAATATATGTCTCATCCTGCAGCAGGCTGGCTCAGGGTTGCCTGCAGGGCCAGGATGGTGGATTCCCAGAGAGCAAGCAGAGACATGCAGTGCTTCTGGTTTCTTAATTTTTTTTATTTTTTATTTTTATTTTTTTGGTACCAGAGATCGAACTCTGAACCTTGAGCTTGTGAGGCAGGCAGCAGAACCACTGAGCTAAATCCCCAGCCCTTATGCAGCACTTCTGGAGACCATGTCTGCCATGTTCTGTTGGTCAGTGTCAGATTTAAAGGTGGAGAAATAGACTTCACTTCCTGATAGAAGGCTTTGAAAAGTGGCATTGAAAATCAGGAATATAGACAGGGAGTCCATGTCTGCAAATTCAACCAACCTTAGATACAAAATAAAATAGTGGAGTGCCAGGGATTTAGCACAGTGACACCGTGCCTGCCTTGCAACCGCAAGGTCCGGAGTTCAATCCCAGGTACCAAAAACAAAACAAAAAAACAAACCAAATAAAATAGTGGAAGAAAATTACATCTATACTGAACATGTATGACCTTTTTTTTTTGTCATTGCCTAAAGGAAATGGTGTGGCAGCTATTCTGATAGCACTTAACATTGTATAAGGGATTATAAGTCATCTAGAGATGATTTAAAGTATAAGGGAGGATGTCCATAGGTTCTATGCAAATATTAGATCATTTTATATATGAGATTTGAACATCCTCAGATTTTGGTATTCACAGCAGTCCTGGAGCCAACCTCCTGTGGATACCGAAGGCCTGTTGTAAATGAGATCATTTTTGTAGTCTGTATTACTTTTCTTCGGTGCACAGCAAGGCTTCCTCATTGGTCAGCCATTTGACAGTGGCCCTCTCCTGACCGTTGAAATGGTTCCCCACTCACCCTCATTGTTTCCACAGGCCATGAACTTGTCTCCCCTTATGTGTCTAGTTCATTCTCACTGTGCCCATTAATCTTTTTTTGTTTTCTTCCTTTAGTACTGAGAATTGAAGCCAAGGACCTTCACCCTGAGCTACATCCTCAGCCATATTTATTTTTTTATGTTGAGACAAAATCTCATCAAGTCAGTAAGTTACCCAGGCTAGGCGTGAACTTGCCATCCTCTGGCCTCAGACACTGGGAATGCTGGGATTATAGGCATGTGCCACCACACCCAGAAATTTGCTTGAATTAAAGACTCCTGGAGAGATGACTGGGTTGTGAGGGCACTAACCTGATCAGTGGATTAACCCTTTGCAGAGCTCATAGCTGAATTGGGTATCGCGGCCTGGTTGGAGGAAGTGGGTCATGTGGGTGTGACCTCAGTGACATTATGTGTTCCCTGGCCCCTTCCTCTCTGCCTCTTGCATTCTCTGCAGCTGGCTACCCAGGGGTGAGCAGCTCTGCCACTCCTTTCTGCCCTGATTTTCTGCCATGGAGGCAGTTGACCATGGACTGAAACTGAGAGTCAAGTAATCCTCTGCTCCTTTAAGTTGTGAATGTCAGGTACTTTATCTTAGCAATGGAAACCTGACTAATGCACTCACAGTGGCTGCCATTCAAGACCATAGTTGTCAGGCAGTGAGGACTTCCAGGATCTCTGTCACCCAGCACCCTCAAACTCAAGCTGAATAAGACATGTGGTCCACCATTGCAGGAGCAAAGCTGGATTTGTTCTAACATTTTAGCAAGCAGCCATCAAAACTTAAGGTTTTCTGTAGAAAAAGGCCTCCAGATAAGAGCAAGGTAAAAGAAGAGTTTGCAAGTGGCCTTGGGAACATTTTCAGCAGAAGCAAGCAGGAAGCCACACAGCTGTGGGCAGGCAGGGATTTGTCCTTTTGCCAGCTCAGTCGGGGGTCTCCTAGTTCTGCTTCTTTGTAGGCAGAGCTTCAGAGCATAAAGTCTGGTCCTGTTGTTCTGACTGTCCTTTGGGTCACCAGTCTCATTTCTGACTTCAGCCTCAGCTCTGTGCAAGGGGCTCTCCCCATGGAGGGCCACACTATTGTTTGTGGCTGTTTGATACTGCCAGCCCTGGGGCTGTTTATGTACAAATTCCTGGTTATTTGTGCTATTGGCCTGTTTAAAGTTTTGGGGATAGACCCCCAGGGCCTTGCACATGTTAGGCAAGTGGTCTTCCACTGAGCTTCACTCCAGCCCTTTTTAAAATTTTGAGACTGGGGTTCACTAGGTTGCCTAGGCTGGACTACTAATGATGTATTTCATTGAGAGGAAAATCCTAAATGATCATTTTTGCTTCTGAAAGGCTTTTTCCGAAACACATGGGTCTGAATGTGTGTCAATGTGAAAAGTGTTGGCTTACAAGCACAGTGCCATGATTTAGCAAGTGGTTCCTGCTCCCATGTGCATGTGCAGCTGTGGCCTCCCAGCCTCTTCCTGCTCCCCCTCTCTCCATCTTCTTCCCTCCCTCTTTCTCTTCTTCCCCTTCCTCACATTCTCCTCCTCCTTCCACCTTTTTTTTTCTTTTGGAGGGGGGTACCGGGGATCGAACTCAGGACCTTGCACTTGCGAGGCAGGTGAGGGAACCACTGAGCTAAATCCCTGACCCCATCACCTTTTTTTCTTGTAGCAAAAGGCATTTGGTGATGTCTGTGCCCACATTTCCCACTTGAATCGTGCTGCTTCTGCAGACCAAGACTGCAAAGCAAAGGCCTCCTACCTTCTCCCCCTTCCACTTTGAAGCCATAATCCCCTTTCCTTTTTGCCTAGAATGTGCCCTTTGGCTTGGGAGGAGGTCAGGGGCCCTGGAGAAGTACTCCTTGTGCAGAGTTTGGGGACCTAACATTCCTGCAGTGCTATGCCAGCTCATGTCCCCTTCCTTCTTCCCTCTCTTCTCCCCAGGCCTAAGGTCTTAGGACCCCCAAGGGGAGGGAGAAGATGTTGCCTCAGGGAAGTAGGAAGAAGCAGTGTCAGTTTCTTTCCTTAACCAGAAACTCTCTGGTTTAATGCACAGTAGATTCATGGACCAGTTTCTGTGGTCCCACGTTTTATGACGGCACCTCCCAAGCTCAGGCCCCAGCCATCCCTCTCTGCATGATTTTTACCACAGCTGTGCACTGCCCATGGCACTATATCCTTCGCAGTTTTTTTAAAAAATTAACTCATTTTTAAAACCTCAAATATGGAAAGTCAAGGTCATGTGCATAAAAAGATAATTGTAAAAATAAGTGTGAATATTTTCCTAAAATATATTTTTCTTTTTGTCTTTTGGTACCGGGGATCGAACTTGGGACCTTCCGCTTGTGAGGCAGGGGCCAGAACCACTGAGCTAAATCCTCGGCCCTAAAATATATTTTTCTTAATGAAAGATCAAAAGCCTGAAGCCTACTCTTTCTTGTTTTCTAAATGTGTTAGCTTTCTGTTCCTATAACAAATAACTGAGATAATCAGCTTACAAAGAGAAATGTATTATTTGGTGTCTTAGTCATTTTCCTGGGTCACTGAGACACAGTGCCCAGCACCCACAAGTGAAAGGAGGTGGGGCAATCCACTTTCTGGGTCCCCTTCTGTCTCTCTTAGACAGAAGCTATCTCTTTCAAGAAGTAATTCCTGCTCTTAACCTCCATTGTTCCTAGGATTCATTCTTTGATTTTAGAGAACACAAAATATTGGGCATCTAGTGGGTTGAGAGTTACAGTATTTCCCTCACATTATTTAGAGGTCCATATATCATCCCTATATCATACGCCCTATATCACTAGGACAATAGAGACTCTGGGGTGCAAACGAAGGATGAGGGAAGGAGACGCCCCCCCAGTGACCCGCCTCCTCCAGCCAGTTGCCCCCTC